GTTGTTTTCTGAGCCCGCGAGCCTAGAGCCAGGGCGCTTTCATTGCACGGCGGAGCTTCTTGTCTCGGGAAACACCGGGCGTCCTTGCTGCCCCCTGAGGGGAGGGCGATTCTGGGCTGCGCGATTGGGGGACTTCGTGGCTTTGGGTGGGTGGGTGGGTGGGAGCGAGGACGGGCAGAGTCCGTGAAGTGGGGCTTGCCTGCCCTTGCTGGCTGCCTCTGCTTCCTTAGGGCTGGGGAAGGGGGTTCATCTGGACCAAGGGTGAGTCTCCCCCTCAGTTTCCCCTGAAGGATCTTCCGTCGCTTTTGCCTTCTCCCTACATCTTACCTCTGTTAAAAATCCCCCACACACACACACACACACTTGTTTTCGGGCGGATAGATTTCGTGTCTGAGCATTCTCACATGGCGGTGGGTCTTTCCCCCCCCCCTAAAAACAGTTAAAAAAAGAAAAAACATATCCTCATGCAAGAACTTTTCTGCTTCCGATTACCCCCATGCTTAAAAGTTGCAAAGGAAACACGGAAGCAGGGAAGCGACCGCCCAGCTCCGGAGCTCCACACCATTTTTTTTTCAGAGGGGAATCTCACTCGAGTATAAGCCGAGGGGGGGTTTTTCAGCACAAAAAATGTGCTGAAAAACTCGGCTTATACTCGAGTATATTGTTCATTTTTATGAATATTTTAATGAAAAACAGTTTACATCCATAAAAAATAATACATGTGTACTTGAGCAACAAATTCACAGTGAATACAAGTTCCATAAGCAAAGAAGGGAAAAGGAGAATTTAACAATTCCTTTTGTAGTTGCTGCTCGTTAAAAGAGAGCAATAAACAAAAATAGAACTAATTTATACTTGATTTAGGAAACAAAGTTCTCTCTATAAATATCATAGCTCAACATTAAACTTTTATGATGTTTTGTGTTGTTTACTATTTTTTTAAAATAAGACTATAGAAGAATAACCAGATATTTAATGTGCTATATTCACTTGTCCCAAAATTAATTTGGAAATCCAGAGTTTTATTTTTCTCCTTCACTATTTGCAAGTAAGTGAGCGGGTAGGAATTTGTTCCTAGTTTTTCAATGGCCAGAAATATAATTTTTGATAGTATTTTGCCAGGATTTTTTTTCAAGATAAAAGGATGAGTAGAAATATGAATGCATATTAACAGTTCACAATCTCTTTCTCGCATAGTTGCAGCTCGTCATGGATTACAAAGTCTTGGGAAAGTTGCTGTTTCACGGAGAATGCCCCCTCCAGCTAACCTCCCTAGTCTTAAAGCAGAAAACAAAGGCAATGATCCCAATATAAACATTGTGCCTAAGGATGGCACAGGTTGGGCTTCTAAACAAGAACAACATGAGGAAGAAAAGTAAGTTGCACTACAAACCATCCTTCCTGTTATTTATGTAATGTTTTAGCATATGCTGTGGAGTGTTAAGAATTCTACAGGTAGTCCTTGCAAACCGTTCATTCAGTGACCACTTGAAGTTACAATAGCAATGAACAAATAGTAGTTATGGATGGTCCTTGAAGTTGCTGCATCCCTGCAATCACATGATAAGAATTTGGATGCTTGGCAGCCTGCCTAAATTTACAACTGCACACTGGTCTCAATTTCTCCAACTGCCTAACTCCCTCCCATATCTCACTTTTTGGGTATCTTGCTTCCATTTCTGCTGCCTATCTCTTCTGCCCCCCCCCCATCACCCCCAGCCGACCTTCACCACCCACCTCCTCCCTCCTGCCAAGGAAGGGCAGCTGCTGACTCGTCACAAGACCCATAATTAATTATTAGTAATAACATTAATTATAAATTTTATAAGAATTTCATGCAAATGCTAGCACTTTAGTTATCTTATAATTTATTACCTGTGTTTCCTCTGAGTAAAAAGAAATCAAATCCCTCAATTTCATTCTCATCCCATTTGGGAGATAGATATGATTATAATATTGTCTGCATATAAAAGAGATGAACTATGCAGCCTGCTAATATAGGGTATGATGAATGAAAACAGAAGTCCTGTCATGTCAAATATAATTAATTACTTAATTATAAAAGATGCTTCATCAATCAATTTTTATAAATGGATTGTGCAGATATGAGAAGGATTGTGTCTTTTGAAGCATTGATAAGAGCCCATTCTGGGGTATTTCAGCCTTTAATTAAAGTTTCCAGATTTTGTGGCATCAGATAATTTTTTGTTTGCTTTATAGCAGTGGTTCCCAACCTTTTTTTCACCCCGCACCCCTAAAGAAATTTCACTCGAACCTCGCACCCCCTGAAATTTAGACTTTAGGAACTACTGAACGCGTTAAATATATGGTAGGATTGAATCTTTTCAGCTATGTATGTGACGGCCACTAAATAACGATACTTAACTCTAAAATGAAAACAAAGTTAATCCATTGCATAATAAATAAAAATGCCAACATATAGCCAATATCCTATTATTTACCTGGACTTTTCTCGCACCCCCTGGAATATCGTCTCGCACCCCCAGGTTGGGAACCCCTGCTTTATAGGCTTGTTTGTTCATTTCCACCATGAAAAAAATAGTTGAATGTAAATTGAAATTAGATGTCATCATTCTTTATGCTAAGAACAGTTTGTATCATATAGTTAAAAATATATAATACAAACTATTTCATGCAAATCTTGATACATTTTCCTGAAGTTCTTCCCTTTTATTTTGTATCAAAGCTTTTGAAATAAGATTGTTGATATAAATTGTACTAGGAGAAATATTGGGAGCTGCATTCATAAAAGTGTTCAAATAAGTTGTTCTGCTCTTATCATAGAAGCTTTTTTTAATTATTTGAAGATTTGAATTCTTTGTTAAAATATGGTCTGCAGTTATTATGTTAGCCATTTTCTCACAAGCATTTTCAAATTTATCTTGCTTTTAGACAAGCAGAAGTCCCACAGGTGCAGCCAAAACCTGTAGCTCCTGTTCCTCCAGAGGCTCCTCCTGTTGTCAAATCGTGGGCTAATACCAAACAGGGTGGACAGGGTGACGGTAAGTGAAGGAAAGATGGACCAGTCTAGCCAATAATTCTGCATTGCAGAATTTTCTCTAAAACTTATTATTTCTTTCATTTTCGTGTTTGGGTAATATTAGAGATGTAGTAGGATCATTATTCTTTGGTGAAAGATGGAGCACAGCTTTGAAAATTTCAAGTGCGTAAGAGTTGCCTTCTGAAGAAAAACTTTGTCATTAAAGGATGAGAAGGTAGTATTCATAGAGTGCAATATTGCTAAAGTGAAAATGGTTTTATGGGGGGGGGGAAATACACCAAAATGCTTGTATGAGCACAGATCAACTGGTTTTGAAGGTCTGTGTCTGATCAAAGTATCTTCCAGACAGAAGTAATTTGTAGATAGAAGCCAGGAAAAAAGGGCCAAGGACATTGATGGCAGTAGCTGAGAAGAAGGAAAACACTGGGGAGATTGAGGAGTCCATTTGGCTGGGGTGCATGTTGCATTGGGGAGAGAGAAAAGAAGCTTGGAAGCTCAGACCAGTGAGTTACTGTGCGGCGAGAGTTGCTGTGGAGAAGGAGGAATTAAGAGATAACTTCATTCCCTCAGTTTGCTTTGTTTGCTTGCTTTGTCTAGGCTTCAATTATTCTAAAACACCAAAGAGGTGACATTGCCAAAGTGATGATCTAAAAGTATTTGGAAGAACTTTTAGAAAGGATTTTGCTCCAGTGTCCATAAAAGTGGATACAAAAACACTTTTTTCTGCTTAGTGCACTCTCCCCAAACCAGAGCTATAAGTGATTCAATCCTGGATGTGTGATCTGTGTCTGAACAGTTGATGCAAAAGAGATACTGCCCTTTAGGGAGCTGTTGAAGAATGCTAAGGAAAAGCTATTTTGGTCATTATGTTTTGTATATGTATTTGTTCATGTGTATGGCTACTGCTGCTTCTGTGGCCTTGAGACGAGAGAGAACAGAGTTCCTCTAAGCACATAGTGGGAAGTATGAAGCTGGGAAGGGATTTGTCAGATAAGGAAATGTCAAGTTACATGCTTGAAAGCTACAGTATTTTTATGTTGAGTCTTCTTCCATCTTGCAAAATTTTAGACTTACAAACAATTCTACATTTTGGTCTTATGATGCTGATTTTAAATTGCAGGTTGAGTTTCTAATAGCATTATTGTGAATGAGACAGCTAATCCACTGAGTTGGTAAATGAGCTTAGTGTAATTGATCTCATCCACCTATCTCCCTGTGGGTAATTGGTCCAACACAAATTACAGTGGGTCTTAAAAGTTTGTGAACCCTTTTGAATTTTCAGTATTTCTGCATAAATATGACCTAAACGTGATGTGTTCCCCACATATCTCTTAAAACTACTTTATTTATTGATAAAAACAATCCAAAACTACACGATAAAAGCATAAAACTCTAATCACCCCCTAGGCGTGCGTGTGTACATACATACATACATACATACATACATACATACATACATACATACATTCTGCATGCAGTTCTGGTTGCCATGATACCAAAAAGATACTGAGACCCTAAAAAGAGTGTAGAGAAGAGCAACAGGGGTTTGGAGGCTAAATCATGCAATGAACAGCTAAGGCAACTAGGAATGTTTAGTCTAAAAAGAGAAAGATTGGGATGACTTGATAGTTGTCACCTTGCCTGCTGGAGATTTTCAAGAAAAGGTTGAACCATCTTTTGTCTAGGAGGGAATAAAAATTCACACCTTGGGCAGGGGGTTGGACTAGAAGATCTCCAAAGTTCCCTCCAGCCCTATGACTGTGATTCTAAATCTTTTGAAGCAATATGAATTAAAATAATATATTTCTTGTTTAAATATAAGAATAAAAGAACATTATGTGCAGTATTGACTTAGTTTTTTTAAAATAACTTTCAGGTCCTGGAGTTCCAATAAATAGTTATTTCCAGCAAGAGTTTCCTAGTTTGCAGTCAGCTGGAGATCAAGAAAAGGGAAATAAAGAAAAAGATACACCTGAAGAGCCTTATGGTCCTGGACCAAGTTTGCGTCCACAAAGTAGGTTTGTCTAAAATAATCTAAGATTATTGTGGTTGTGGAGCTCCTGATGCTTTTTTTATCTTCGGGAATGCTGTTTCTGTTCAGGATTATGTGGTTTTTAATGTTTTTTAATATATGTACGAGACTTACCAAGTCGTCTTAGACTTCAGCAGCCTTAATAAATTAATAAATACATTTAAAAGTTCTCCATAAAATTCAGTGTTAATTCACATTTGATTCATGTCAAAATTAATTTGCAAAGAATATCCTGGGATGATATCTAAGATTAAGGATTTTAATCTATTTACTTTCATTAGTTGAAACCTCATTTTTGGTTACTCACTAAATTTGTAAGAGATCCTCAATCACACTCCCTATTCTGAGTAGTAGGTTTGAATATCATTATGGTTGCAAGTGGTTGATTATTTCTTTTAACACAAAACAAAACAAATCAGCAAAGATGAACAAAGACAATTTATTAATCATCTGAACTTTTGCAACCGAGATATTGTAACCTAACTGCAGCACAATTTGTTGGCACACTTGAGACTTCATAACAAACAATAGTTTGTGTCCTTCTTATGTTCTTTAACTGAAAAGATTTAAAAACGTGCAGTGTATAATGCTTGTCAAATAAAAGGGCGAAGAAAAGATGGCTCTAGAAATACTGATGGATATGTAGGAGTTAGTACCACAGGTGATCCTTGACTTAACAATGGCAATTGGGACCAGAATTTCCATCACTAAGCAATGTCATAAAGTACAACTGCATGGCTTAGTAATGGCAGTCCTTGCAGTGCTAGTTGCTGATGTTAACTGAATCTTACGGTTGTTCGGCAAAGTAATGTCCTACCCGCTTCCCACAATGAAAGTCAATGGGGAAGCCAGCAGCACGTTTCAAGTCCCAAGCTAGCAGTTAGGTAGGTAGCTAGTGCTTGATGGGAGAGGCAATGAGGAGTGTGCATGGATTTGGGGGAAGCATAGCAAGCGTGCAAGTTAGGGATTGTGCATGGAAAGGCACAGCAAGGATAGGGGAAGGAGCACAGGCAGTTGTGGATCAGAGAGAGAGCACAAGGATCCAGCTAAGTCTGAGAAAGGTGAAAGGTGGACTTTGGGAGTGTATAGATGGCCAGTGTGGCACGAATGCAAAGGTGCATGGGTGGGAGAGAATTATCTTAGCAACTTGTGACCTTCCCTGTTGGTTTTCCCCATTGACTTTTTGGACAAGCTGGCAGGGAAGGTTTCAAAGAGCAATCATGATCACAGGATGCTGGAACCTGTCATTAATAAGTTGTAAATAGCTGGCAAGTCAGTTTAGCCTAATGGTTAAAGCACCAGGTTAGAAACCAAGATGCCGTGAGTTCTAGTTGTGTTTTACGCATGAAAGCTAGCTAGGTGACTTTGGCCCAGTCACTCTCTTAGCCCAACTTACAGTGTTGTTGTGGGGAAAGTAGGGAGGAATATTATGTATGTTCATTGCAGTCATGTGATCATGGAAGTGCTGAGACAGCTGGAACTCTGAGGACTGGTCATAACCATTCATTCAGCACCATTGTAATTTTGAACAGTTACTGAACAAATGGTCATAGGTTGAGGACTACCTGTACATTAGCAAAGATTTCTGATTTCTGGCTTTCTGAGGATTGACAGTCAGTTTTTTTCCTGCTAGCAGGGGAAAGTGCACTGCATAATACTAGAGATTTCCAAAACTGAGATGTTCCAAAAATACTGATAGATGCTAAGTATGATGAGGCAACCCCTTTTTGTAAGTCTGATCCCACTCTTTATAGTGGTCAAGAAAAACAAACTGTATCACAAAGTTTATTTCAATTTTTCAGTTGTCAATTGGGCAATTGTCTAGGTTATATGGCTCTAGTTTAGGCTGCTTTAACTCTTTCCAGGCAGTGGAAATGTGGTTTTTGGAAGAGGAAAATAAAACTGGCTACTATGTTGGTACAGCACTTCAGAATTGGATGTTCCTTTTTCCAATGCAGATGTTGCTAGTTGGAGAGAAGGTGGAGGCAGAAGTTTAAACTCTCCAAATTCTCCAACTGATCAAGAAGCAAAACCTCTTGTTCAAGAAGATGGTAATATGCCTGGACCAACAGAACAAAGCGATGTCCTTAAGGTTCCAGAAAAGAAGGAGATACGGATAGCACCACCTCCCCTACCTAAGATGAATGGCCAGCAACAGCCAGGGATCCTTCCTCAGTATAGAGGAATGATACCACCATATGTAAGTCTGATAGATCAGATTCTTGCCAAAATTTCTTTCAATTCCAAGAGTCATGTTATAAAGAGAGTGGAATGAGGAGGGCAAATTATTCCTATAGAGCAAGTAGCAGCATGACCTGTTTGCTGATTTAGATTATATTTAAGCAATAGACAAAGTGAAACAATAATAATCTTTTTTAAGAATCTTACAAAACATAAAATTTTGAGAAAGAATGTTTATAGCCTCAGGATTCAAAAGGTATCTTTTGGTTTATGACCAAACTAATTGAAACAGAAGCACCACCTGGGCCATGCATGAAACAAACAAAGAATATTTTACTTCAGCTTGGAACAAAGCACCCCTCTTTTCCCCAGAACCGAGCACCTCCATTTCCCTCTAAACTTTCCAAATTAGCTCATTCCAAAGGAACAAAACAAACCTTTTCAAATTTCTGGCCATTAGAAACATGTGAAATCAGAACAAATCCATAGCTCCCTATTTTTTTAACTCAAGGCCACTAGTACCAGTATAAATAGATGGTGATTTTTGCTACAATTTACTCTAGTAGAAGAAAAAAAACATAAAATAATAAAACAAATTCTTTGAAGTCCCTCACAGCTCTGATAGAAGAGAAAACACAATATTCTTACTGCAGAACAACAGAATTAATCTTCAGTTAGCAGTTATTTAGCTTCTAAAAACAAATAACGTTTAGCAGCTCCAAGACTGAACCCCAACCTAAACAAGTAACACCATTGCACATCCATTGCTATGATACTATAAGATTTCTTTAAATGTTTCAAAACTGGCCTATTCCTGCTTAATTTCATGGATAGTGTGGATTACCATTACACAACAATTTTTTTTAAAAAGCCAGCACACTGCACTCCTCCTATTTTACCAGGCTCTGCTGTCAATAGTATCATTTATACCAGTGGTCCCAACCCTTTCTGGCACCAGGGACCAATTCCAGAAGAAAAATTGTCTTCCACCATCTGGGAGGGCTGAAGGTGGATTTTTGAGTGCAACCTAGATCCTGCACACATGCAGGTGAAGCTTCACTAGCATATCTGTCACTTACCTGGCCCAATTCCTAACACTAGGGTTTGGGGATCCCTGATTTATTGAGCAAAAAGTACTAATTCTATCCTTACAATCGGCAATCAAGCCAGTGCCTTTTTTCATTTTTCTAAATGGACCTCAAGGCTGACATCAGTATGATATAAGAGGGATACACCAACAGACCAGCAACACAGAAACTTCTCACACTTATTCCTCTAGACACGTATCGCACTTGTTATTGTTAGTCGCAAAGTCATGTTCGACCCATCACAACCCCATAGCCAACATTCCTCCAAGCCTTCCTGTTCTCTACCATCCCCCGGAGTCCTACTAATCACACTACACATGGAAAAATGGAAGAATTTTTAACTCAATTATAGAACTAAAATGTATATTAAATTTGAATCATTGGGCAGGAATATCTTTTTCAAATACATGAATATACAAACTGCCTTCAAAATGACCATTGTTTTGAAACTTAGTATAGAACATAATGAATCCTCCAACTGCTAGATCAGAAGCAAGCCAGTTCTATCTCTTCATTTCTACTCAAGAACAAAGTTCTTGCATATTTAAATTTTGTTTTTGTCTTAATTGCCATAGTTTGCTTTAAAGTTTATTAAGAAAATAGAGCAGACTATTTTGGATAGATCAATTATTTAATCTATTATGATTTATAATCTGGCTACATGAGATGTCAGAAATGTTTTTCAATTGTATTAGTTGAAGTTACAGAAATTAGCAAATTCAGACTATTGTATCTTAGCTTAATATTCTAAGATGTAAATAATTGTTTTGCTTATGAAGGCATTCTATGTGTTCCTTTCCTGGTTGACTAAGCAGTTATAGAAAGGTTTCAATTATACTTTTGCAAAATACTTTACTGGACAAAACAAGTCAGGAAAATAATGATATTTCAGAACTGACAAAAATACATCTGATTCATAGTATGGTTTAACACCCTGACATTATCTTAAAGTGATTTTGTTCATATTGGGACCTTATGATATATCTATCTCTTCAGATTTAGCTGGAAATGTGAAGGCTGACCAAAGGGACTGTACATGTTCACTAATTATTTTTTGTTCATGTAATTGTTCATGTAATCATGTAATCTTATGAAGCTAATTTACAATTGTTAAAATATAGCCATACATTTTCTGCATTTGATGAAATGCAAAATGCATGTTTATAAGAGCCATCAAATTTCAAGAAGATATACTTCTGCATAAGTTTGCTATGTAAATTAGTAAATTCCTTTTTTCTTTTTAAAAACTTAAATAGTTCTTAGTTTAAATTTTCATATGGGAACCTATTTATCTTTGTTTAGATTACAGTTTGGCTTGTGCGTAGCATTTATGTATTCATGTAACCTATTTTTATGTATAACTTTCATATAAATTTAGTTATTACTGATCTAGTCTTCTTTTCTTTAGATGCTAAATCAGTACCCTAAACTAGCATATCCACCAGTGGCAGGTCCCAGCAGATTTCCTGCCCCATCTGAGAGCAGCAGGTAAGGAAGCCAATTGCTTTGTTTGCTTTGTTCCAAAATCAGTTTGCACTTGGTACTAGAACTAGATTTGCTTATTAACTGTATAATTATATATCCAGAAAGTCAGTCATTGTGCATTTACAGTACATTATGTGGCTGAAATTTGTAATTTCTTAGCAGACAATGAGACCTCAGTATACATACCAAGAATTTTAGCTTATCCCTTCACTGACTCCTAAAGATAGATTTTAGCTTCTAGTTAAAAATGTACTTCAGTATTTTTTCAGTACTGTGTTAAACCAATCATTCAATCATTAAGTTGGAAGAGTCCATTTATCCATTGACATCTGATCCCCTGCACCATGCAAGAATTCAGATTAAAGCATTTCTTGATAGATTGCTTTAGATCTATCTAGTATCTCAATTCATCTATTTAGATAAATCCAATCCCTGCTTAAATATGCTGTATGAAAATAATCCTGCTAATATAATTTTCTCTCATTTGTTATCTAAGTTGAGTACCATTTTCTAAGTTTTAAATTCAAATGTGTTACATGTTTTCTCTTTTTCTAGAAACCCAAGAGGAAGGGGGCCTTCTTCACGGAACTCAGAAACTGTAGAACGTCCAGCAATCCTAAGTGCTAACGAACTCAAAGAACTTGATAAGTTTGATAATTTAGATGCTGAAGCCGATGAGGGCTGGGCTGGTAAGCAATGTAGATCTTGATATACATCAAACTAAAATTGCAAACAGAAAAAAGTATTCAACGTGCTAATCTCCAGTTTGTTATTTAGGAGCTCAAAGTGAAGTAGATTATACTGAACAGTTGAACTTCAGTGATGATGATGAACAGGGAAGTAATCAGAAAGAACAGGAAAACAGGTAATAAACACATTGATACAAAAAATATAAAAATCATCTGCTAGTCTTTTATGTTCTGTGTATAATGTTTGCATTAGTTTGCCATTGTGATATAGTGCACAGGTATCTATGGGGTGTAAATATCTGTTTAACTATAGACTTTACATTAGCTAAATAATGTTGAGCGTGTCGTTATCCATCTAGCTTGTTTCACATTTGAGAACTAGCATTGTGTAGTGATTAAGGAATTGGACTAGAAGCAGAGAGTTCCCAGGTTCTAGTCCAAGGGTCTTCAAACTTGGCAAGTTTAAGACTTGTGGACGTCCAACTCCCAGAATTCCTGAGCTAACATGACTGGAGGAGGAATTCTGGGAGTTGAAGTCCACAAGTCTTAAAGGTGTCAAGTTTGAAGACCCTTGGTCTGGATTATCAGTCACCTATGCTCTTTCAATGACTTTGGGACAATCATCTCTCAGATGTGGCAGAGAGAGCAACAGGTATGTGATCTGAAGCTTCTGAATAAAAGGCAGGATGTGTATATTTGTAATCTCTGCATGTTTCTCATGATGTTAATTTTGTTTTTCTGCGTTTGGTTGGTTCATGGTTCCATTTTCAGCTACCTTAAAAACTTGATGGGGTTGCTTTAGTAATGCAATGTTTATGAAATTAGTACAAAGATTGTAAAATAAGTTTGACATAAAAATTATATGCAGAAGTGTTTCCATTGATATCTTTTATGCAGTAATGAATTGACTAAAGATGTAGACAAGAAAGATGTAGAAGAACCTAAATCATCTTCTGCTTTGCCATCGGTTGGAACAAAAGGAGCATATAGCAAAAGCAGTCAGTTTGACCAGGTACGTGTTGTTGCTATCTCTTTAGAATCATATTGTTCCTAAAGAGCATTTTTTTCTTCAGCTAAGCACATATGCAAAAATGTGCATTTTTTTTTTCATGCTACAAGTGGCATTTATGGTTCCAAGCAGAATTTCATTTATTAGTTTGTGAAAATTTGAAGTAAAAATATTTCTTCCTTCGCTTCCAGGAGCAATTAAATTTGACCTTTTTCCCATTGATCATTTAAGTTAACCGTAGCCTTTTATGATTAGGGCTATGTGTAATATATGTATAATATATATTTATGTGTTAAGTTTAATTGCTTTGGCAAAGAGTTGTCTTCCATAAATTTGAAATATATTTTGATTACACATTTTAGGCACAAGCAGAAGATGCTTCTTTTCGGCAAGACTCTTGATTGTTTACTTGTTCTTGGTTTCACTATTTAAAATCAGCTAGGTTTTATGGTTGTTAAATTCTGTTTGAAATGTATGTATGTATAATTTTATCATGTCCTATATATCAGAATAATTTCATATTTTTAAAAACAAATAATTTTACATGTTTAAATAGATAAATTAATATGTATTAGGGAAAATATTTCAATTTTGCTTCTTTTACACTCTTCCTCTAAGTAAAATTTAATTTGCCCCATTTGAAATGATTAACTTTGTTCAGCATTTTAATTTCGTACGAATATCCACAAAGACTTTTTTTATTAAAATCTAACAGGGACGTGGAGTGTTACCATCACAATCTTCAGTACTTGAGAGAAGTAATACTTCTGGACTTCATGCAAAATCAATTCTTCAGGTATCATCAAAATGTTTGTTTAAAAGAAATAATCTCTGATTCATATACACATTTTCCTTTACCTGTCTTTTTTAACAAAATGCTGATAGCTTCTGTTGGAATAATTGTAAGAAGTTGAATTTGCACACTTTTTTAAAAATGCCTTTGCTGAATTCATAGGCTGAACTCCAAAATGAATGTGTGGGGTGTATTTGTTTGTCATTTTTTTTTCTAATTGTAGTCATTTATTCTATATTAGATGCAGCAAGTGATGCATTTATTTATTTAACTGATTTATATGACCACAGATCTTAAGCAACTCTACAACAACCATAAAACTAATAAATGAGGCAGTAATAAAAACAAAACAATAAACAAAAACCCTGTGCCTTAATTATCCCACTTGGGCTGCTTCACTGCTACTTCCATGCCTTCTACCCATATAATAGCAATAGCACTTAGACTTATATACCGCTTTACAGTGCTTTATAGCCCTCTCTAAGTGGTTTACAGAAAAGTCATGCTTCTGAGGTCCTACTAGATGGCAAGATTTCAGGGAGGGAGATTAAAATTTAAAATACAAAACTACTAAATTTTAGATTTCAGTAAGCCTAAGGAATTAAAAATTAATTCATGCACAAGTTCAAAATAATAAAGGCCTTGCAAACAAATACTTAATCTTTTAGAAGAAGGATTGTTTTAAATATCTCTTAACACTGAAAATGTTCTTGTATGTATATTTTAGGGATTAAGTGTTCTTAAATGTTAAGATTTAACATTTTGATTATTCTTTCGTGAAAATAGATCAAATTCTAGGATCTCCAGCAATGATTTTTTCATTTATAATTGGTACTACTTATTGTTTATTAAACCTGGCTGGAGATTTTATGACAAATTATTTTGAGGTCTCTCTTCCAAAGAATTTTGCTTATGTATTAAGGCAAGGGAATTTAATCGTATATCTTTGGTTTAGATGTTTACTGTTTTGTTTTTTAATTTTAGCATCCACTTCCAGATCGCATGGCAGGATCAGGAAGGCAAGGTTCCTTTCCTCCTAGGCCAGTACCAGATGATGATGAGATTTGGAAGCAGAGGCGAAGACAGCAGACAGAAATATCTGCATCAGTAGAACGAGCCCGTAAAAGGAGAGAAGAAGAGGAGCGGAGAATGGAGGAACAAAGAAAAGCTGCATGTGCTGAGAAATTAAAACGCTTAAATGAGAAATTTGGGTGTGTACCAAAGCCAGCTCAAGAAGACCCATTGAAAGAAAAAGAAAAGATCAGAGAAAATGACATTGAAAGGGAAAAGGAAACAACTATTGAAAAGGAGAAAGAAAAAGTGATAGATGTGGAAATAAAAGAAAATCAAGACAATGACAAAGAAATTGAAAAGGAGAAAGAAAGAGAGGAGAAAGAAGAAGTGGAAGAGATACCTAAAGTAGATGAGAAACCTAAAACTGAAATTTCTGAGCCTCAGGAGTCTGCCATTGCCCCAGTAATATTAGAGAAACAAGAAAAAGAAACCACCAGTGAGGAAGAAAGAGGTTTGTATCAATTCTTTTTGTTAATGTAAAATATAATTGTCATCCACATACAGTTATACTTTAGTTTTCAGCATTCCTTGTTTTCACTCAAGTTGACTAGAACTTTTGGCAATATTTCAAGATCTATACCTCAGATTGGAAGCAAACAGTATTTTGTGAATACTAGAATCTAAGCCAGATCTAGACTTTAAAAATGTGGACATCCTGAAATAGGCATTGAGGAACACATTTTTAAATATGTTTAAAATAGAGTTTTGCAAAATAGCAATAGCACTTAGACTTATATACCGCTTTACAGTGCTTTATAGCTCTCTCTAAGCGGTTTAGAATCAGCATATTGCCTCCAACAATTTAGGCCCAGGCAAATAATGCCCGGAAAGTCCGCTACAGTATAATTTTGAACATTTTTGGTACCCCAATAATCTGCAGAGTGCCCTTAACGTTCCAGTATAACTTTAGTTGGAACATCTGAATATTTTGAAATTGATTCTTAGGTTCAATACCAGCTTGCCTAATTTGAGATTTAAGCTACTCGTGACAACTTTTTATAAAACACTGAACTATATATTTTGTTTCGCTCATCATTTTAACAGTTAACTCATACAGTATGTGGCACTAATCTTTTCTGTCTTTCACCTTGGACAGACTGTCAACTTGTTTCCACCATACAAGAAACTAGTCATAACGAAAAAGACAATTCACATGAAAATGAGCCTGATTCTGGAGCTCAGCCTCGTCCTGCTGTTTCTTCTGGCTATTCAAAGCAGTTTCAGAAATCGTTGCCACCACGATTTCAGAGACAACAGGTAATGGATTTATCTTAAGCTTTATAGTACATATTTTATTCAATTGCCTTTATGGAAACAAATAAGTAACTAAAGATTGCTTATAACTGTAGATTCCACGGAATAAGTACCATATTTTTCAGAGTATAATACTCTCCGAAGTATAAGACGCACCTAGCTTTTCGGGAGAAAAACAAGAAAAAAAAATCTGCCTCTGCTTCCTTGCAGCAAACAGCCTGTTTCAGCTTCAGCACAGCCTGATTAGCACAAGCAGCTGATTGTTGGTTGGATTGGCCTCTTGACGATCAGCTGTTTCAGGCTGCAGGGATTGCCATTGCCTATTGCCACCTCTGCAGGCCCCGTTTTTTGCCTCCGCGTGCCCCATTTTCACCCCATTCTGGGTGGCAGGGATGGGAATGGGCGGAAAATGGGGCGTGTGGAGGCCAAAAGTGGGTTGCGGAGGCAGAAATAGGCTGTGGCAATCCCTGCAGCCTGAAACAGCTGATTGTCGGGGGGACCAATCCAACCAACAATCAGCTGCTTGTGCTAATCAGGCTGTGTTGAAGCTGAAACAGGCTGTTTGCTGCAAGAAGGCAAATTGCTGCGAGGCCTAAGGGTGGGGGCCGGTGGGTGGGCGGGGCTTCAGCAACATTCACTGTATCAAATGCACAGGCATTTCCACCCACTTTGAGGGTGGAAAAAGTACGTAGATTGGTTGTACTCCGAAAAATATGGTAATAGCTTCCATGATCCAAATTTAATCTAGCAATTTTATGTTAGTTGCTCTTTCTACACCTGTAGATTATATCTGTGTACTATTTTTGCTTAGAATTTACATGTTTTATATGTAAATGTAGAAATTACCTGTTATTTGTTCATCTACCCATCCATTGTCATAGTTAATGCTACCAAAGTTCCCACCATAATGAGAGAGAATTGGGAGTTTGGACACCAAGAACATTAAATTAATATTATTCCAAAACACCTGTAGCTGAAAATATGAATTAAATATATAAGTTGTACAGAGGAAACATTGATTGTATTTGCCATATTTGCTTTTTTGTAGGAGCAAATGAAGCAGCAACAGTGGCAACAACAGCAGCAAGGAGTTTTACCACAATCTACACCATCACAACCTTCTAGCAGTCCTGTTCCCCCGCCACCACCACATAGACCATTGTATCAACCTATGCAACCGCACCCCCCACATTTGACTTCTGTGGGTTTTGATCCAAGGTGGCTCATGATGCAGTCTTATGTGGATCCAAGAATGATGTCAGGAAGACCTACTATGGATATGCCTCCCATGCATCCTGGTATAACTCTTACTGTATGCTGTATACTTCTATCCTGAACTTCTCAATTTTCTCATTTTTCCTGATCTTGTGCTATAGATATTCTGAGATTAGGCATTTCAAAGGGTTATTTCAAAGTGAGTATGTTGAAAGCTACTGTACTATCATTATTAGAAACATTCCTCTAATGACATTATTTGAGGATAAATGAATAGCTACCAGGAATATGATCTCTTCTGTGGTTGTGCCTCAACTGCAAAAATACGTTCCTACAACAAAATATATTTATAGGATATGTTTGTTTATACATTTTTAAACAGTTTTTCACTGTATGTTATGGGCTCTAATAGTAACTTAGGAATAGGAGAAAGAGCTGCAACCCAGTCAACAGTAGGACAATTTTAAGAAAGCCTTTCAGGTTTGTCCCTCCTTTGTGTCTTATAGATAAAAGAAGGGTTTCTTGTTGATGTGATTTTGTTGTATTAACATTAAATTAGTATTAACATTCATAACTTTGTGTTTTTTAATCTGATCTGTTTGAAGGACTGACAGTTTTATCCCTCCATATTAAAAGTCAGAAGAATCAGATGACAATCCTAGCACTTATGCTTCTTAATTTGAATATCTCCATTTCAGGAATTATACCTCCTAAACCACTTCTGAGGAGGGATCAAATAGAGGGGACCGGAGCTGGTTCAGATTCTTTTGATCATGTTACTCGATCAGCGAGGGAACATGCCATACCACTGACAGAATCACATATGATGTGGGGGTCAGAACCATATGCTCATGCAGATCCTCAACAGACTAGTACCTCCCCCAAAATCCTTGAAGAAACTATCGATATAAGGTAATCTTCAGATTTTTGTGTATGGTGTGGCTTTCTTCTCTACGATGCTTGCATTCAGGCATACCTCTGACTTTCAAAATATAAAAGGATCAACATATTTTTTTCTAATCAATGGTTTTTCTTAGATAATAACCATATTCTTCAGTACAATTGTCTCTCTTGGACAAACAACAGAAAAATGTAAATATAATTCCAGCTCTGTTAAACTATTAGAATTAACAGATGGATATTTGGCAATGAAAAATTAGAGACATTGTCCTTCATTTTTATTATGGACTATTTTCCACTTTAAAAAAGATCCAACATATCCCTCATCATTATCTACTATGCCCTTGAATATCAGCTATAAGGTATAAAAGACATCTACAAATAGCTATTAATATTGCTAAAATAGTTCAGTAGTAAACTAAATTTAAAGCTCGTATATACAGGTGTCTCTCATTTAGCGACCACAGTTGGGACTGGCAACTCAATCGTTAAAGTGAATCAGCAACTATGTTTAATGATCCTACTTCACCTTTGTTTTACAAACTTGCAAAGGTCCTCAAAATGAGGATTGGTTGTAAAGTTACTTTTTAGCACTGTTGTAATAGTGAATGATCACTAAATGAGGAATGACTGTATACATATCTGTTCATTTTAGCAGCTACAATATTTCAGTTTCTTACATGCCCATTGAGGTGCTTGTGAGATTTATTATATGTTTAGATATAAGAGTATTCTAAATGTTGAAAATCTGTTACAACCCCAAATTATATCTCTAAAACTACTTGGGTTACCAATAGATATATTCCAGCATACAGGAAATAACTCACATTTTAAACCTGTTTTTTTAAAATATTGTTTAGAATGATTGATAAGAGTTCAGCTGAAAATGTGGCTTGTTTCCTCTAGGTCTGAAGAACTCTTGGATCAAGATCAAATAACAGTTCAAGCAGTGTACTCAGGAGAAGAGGGTCAGTTAGACCCCCATATAAAGACAGACTTCTTCAAAAAATCTGAGGATGTGAACATACAGACTTCAAGCAGGTCTTTAGAAAATGCACAGCCACATCAATCTGATACATGTCCATTGGCAGTAAATGTTGAAGTAACTGCGGGAAATATTTCAGAAAGCTCCAAAGAACAACAGGTGCCTATAGAAGAGAATAATTCTTCTCTGAAGAGAAGCATTTCTCATGGATCAACTCATTCTTTGAAATCAGAAGAACCAGTGGGCAATACACAGGCAAATGTTCCCAAAATAAACAACAGACACACTGAAACAAAAGAACCACTGCTGGAAAGAGTAGACAGCAAGCAAAAAAAGGAGGGGTTTACAAGTAGTAGGTTACTAGAGGGATCAAAACCTGAAAAGCCCTTTAAACCTAAATCTGAAACTAGGTGGGGTCCAAGGCCAGGATATGGTAGAAGAGAGGAAGGTAGTGACAGACCAATGAGAAGATCTGGTCCCATCAAAAAGCCTATTCTTCGTGATATGAAAGAAGAGCGTGAACAAAGAGAGGAACGTGAACAGAAGAAAGAACGGGAGGGAGAAAGACTGACAAACGAGAGAGTCAACAAAATTGAGAAAAGGGATCAGATGCTCATTTCCAGGTTAGAACCAGAGAAAGCCTCTACAGATGATAAGAAAACATTGCAAAACATATCACAAACTGCAGAGTGTACAGACAACTCCACAGAACCTATAATTACATCTACTGTTCAGCCTGTCACTGTACAGCAGGCAGCAGCAGTACTTCCTGTATCTCAGCCGCCAGCTACAGTCCAAACACTTCCACCTTCAGTTCCACAGCCAAACACTCCACAAACTGCAGTTGAGGCTCCACCACTTAGTGTACAAGAGCTACCAGTTCAACAACCTGCAAATGTGACGGAAGAAAAGCAGCCAGAAAAAATAATTAGCAAAGAACAAACCATAGAAAGACCTGGTATTGAAACCAGACCAGTAAAAAGGGAGCCTGGAGCACCTCCCAGAACATACTGGAAAGAAAATAGGGACTGGTTTCCAGACCAAGGATACAGAGGAAGAGGACGTGGAGAATATTACTCTAGGGGGCGCAGCTATAGAGGTTCTTATGGAGGCAGGGGTCGAGGTGGCAGAGGTCACAATAGAGATTATCCACATTACCGAGATAATAAACCCAGAGTAGAACATGTTGCCTCTGGTCCTCTTAGGCAGAGGGAGGAGAGTGAAACCCGTAGTGAGAGCTCTGATTTTGAAGTAGTTCCAAAACGGCGAAGACAAAGAGGCTCAGAAACTGACTCTGACAGTGAAGTACACGAAAGTGCAAGTGATACTCTTCTGTCAGACAAAGACAGCTTAAGCAAAGGCAAACACCCAAAGAGAGAAGAAAGGGCAGATGTTAAAAAACCTTCAAAAGCCCTCCTATCTTTCAAACCTGAAAATAACATTCGTGGGGACCATAGAGTTGTTGATAAAACATATATAAGAGAAGATGAAAATAAGACCAAACCAGGTTTTCTTCCTAAAGGAGAACCTTCTAGACGTGGCAGAGGGGGGATGTTTAGACGTGGTGGAAGGGATCCAGTTGGTCGCCCACCTCGGCCATCTATTCTTAGGAGACCAGGATACAGAGAGAATCAGTGGAATCCAAGACAAACAGAAATCTCCAAGGCTGAAGATGGAGAACCGCAACGAAGACATGAACATTATGGCCCTATACAGTTGGATAAAAGACCTCCTGCAAAGTTTGAGAGGAAATTTGATCCTATAAGGGAACGACCACGAAGGCAAAGGCCTGCACGACCTCCCAGGCAAGACAAGCCACCACGTTTTAGGCGATTAAAAGAAAGAGAGGCGGCATCAAAAATAATTGAAGTCACAACTAGTTCATCATCAAGTGTGGCAGTGAGTAATGCTGTTAATGAGCAGCCAAGCACTACCTTGGAGATTTCAGAAAGTAAGACACCTGACTTGTCCAATCAGAACTCTTCAGACCAGGCAAATGAAGAATGGGAAACTGCTTCAGAAAGTAGTGATTTCAATGAGAGACGCGAGAGGGATGAAAAAAGATTAGCAGACATCACAGCACAGGGAGCTGTTAAGACAGGAGAAAATACACTAATTCCTAAAAGAGAAATAGCTAAGAGAAGTTTTTCCAGTCAGAGACCTGGGGTTGATCGGCAGAATCGCCGTGGCAATAATGGCCCATCCAAATCTGGACGAAACTTTTCAGGGCCAAGAAATGAAAGGAGAAGTGGCCCTCCAATAAGACCTGGAAAAAGGGGGTAAGTATGTTTCCTAGAAAAACCTAATGTAGAAGGCTTCAAAAAAAAAGCCAATTCTGTTATTTTACTTTGCTGGAATTTTAAATTTAGAATTAGAATTTTCTGCTGGCCAAGTGTGATTAGACACACAAGGAATTTGTCTCCAGTGCATAAGCTCTCAGTGTATATACAACAATAGTGATAGATCATTATCATAATCATTGTAAAATACACTCATCATAAAACATTCGATACAACACTTAGTGATAGTCATGGATACTGTAAACAACATAAATCATAAGTAAACAATATAAATTGTAATATACAAGCAACAAAGATAATCATAAGATAAAGGTGATAGGTAATAGGGAAGATGAGAATGATGGTAATTCTACCTTTCTAGATAGTTTGACAGCGTTGTTGGGATTAGTTGTTTAGGAGAGTGATGGCATGGAGGAAAAAAGTCCTTGTGTTTAGTTGTTCTGATGTGCAGTGCCCTATAGAGTCGTTTTGAGGATAGAAGCAGGGGTGGGTTTCTACCGGTTCTGTCCACCTATGTAGAACCGGCAGCTCTGGAGAGCAGCAGACATAGAACTGGTTCTATGTCTACTGATGTTTTTGCCCACCCGTCCACTTGGGTTCTTACCTTTATTTCCTGATTTTTCAACTTCAGCTGCTGAACGAGGCACAGCTAAGAAAAGAGGGCTGTTTCAAAGGCTGCTTCTTGGCAAGCGTGCTAATGATGATTAACAGGCGTGGCTCACAGCAGGCAGGGAAGCTCGTAAATCCCGAACCAGTAGTTAACCCTGTCATATCCCACCCCTGGGTAGAAGTTGAAACAGTTTATGTCCAGGATATGAGGGTTCCAGATATTTTCACAGCCCTCCTTCTGGCTTGTGCAGGATATAGGTCAGTGGACGGCAGGTTGGTAGTAGTTGTTTTTCTGCCGTTCTAATTATCCATTGAAGTCTGTGTTTGTCTTGTTTGGTTGCAGAGCCAAACCAGACAGTTATAGAGGTGCAGATGATAGACTCAATAATTACTCTGTAGAACTGTATCAGCAGCTTCTTGGGCAGCCTGAGCTTTCTGAGTTGGCACAGGAAGAACGTTCTTTGTTGTGCTTTTTTGATAACATATTTGATGTTTAAGTCTTGAGATGTTATAGAACCTAGATTTAATTAAATGATTTTAATTTTAAATTATTTTTTAAAAATAGTAGGTTAATGCTTCAAATTTTGATTCATAGGTATTTCAGAACATGAAGGAGCATGAATACAGCACTTGACTAACTCATTTTGCAGCCACATCTGTTTCCCAGGTTATGCGGTTGCAATGGAATTCTCAACACAGCAGCTGTACAACCTTGAGGACAGATATTGTCGCATCTGTTTAATGAGTTGTAGACATTCTGTGTTCACGTTTCAAGGCTTCTAGCTCTTTAAAAGAAACATGAATCCAAACTTGCACAGCTCTGAAAGTTATTTCCATTTAAAAGATAGGAATAGGGAAATTGTTGTTATAGGGCTGTGATGGCAAACCTATGGCACGCATACCACAGGTGGCACGCAGAGCCATTTGTGCGAGCATGTGAGCCCCAATCAAACTTACCTCACTGGGCATGCACGTGCCTCCCAGCTTATTTTTGGCCCGTTTGAGGCCTTTTTCGGCCTCCCAGAGGCCCAAGGGAAGCCTCTGCAGCCTTTGGAGGTCGAAAAACAGGCCTGTTTCGTCACTTTCTGTATTTCTGGAAATACTGGAAGTGATGAAACAGGCCCATTTTTCAGCCTCCAAAGGCCGCAGAGGCTTCCCTTGAGCCTCTGGAAGGCCTCAAACAGGCCGAATTAAGCTGGGAAGCGCGCGCATGCCCAGTGCAGGTAAGGGGGCTTGGGGGGGCACACACATTGTCTTCTGAGCATGCATGCAATTTTCAGCACAGGAGCCCAAAAAGGTTAGCCACCACTGTTATAGGGCATATTTCTAAGAGGGAGGGGAAATTGATAAGAGATAAATTTACTGCAGTTAAAGCCAGCATCATAAGGGTCAGAATAATCCTTTCTCTCTCAGTTTCTTTTCTTATAGTTTCTTGGAAGTTGACAGCTGAAAATGCCTGATAATATTTGATCTCTTGCATAGTTAGTCCTTAACTGATGATCATAATGGAGCCTGCCTATTACAGTTGGAAGTCACAATGGCTATTAAGTGAAGCAACCATGTGATTATCTCACTTATGATCCTCCATTTTTCTGTTCCTGATGTGGTTGTTAAAGCACAGGATGCAGGGGGCCTGGGGGAAGCCCTGGGAGACCTAGCACAGACCCTGCCCTAGGCCTCCCCTGCTCCCTGAGGTATCCCCTGTTTCACTTTCTGCCCCGATAGGTACCCACAGTCCTGTTTCCCATCCCACTGGGCCCCACAACTTCCTCTTCACCCCATGTCACTCATCTCACACCCTTCAAAGAGCTCCAGGGCTCGCATTAAGGAAGCAGAACAGGCTGTGCAATTCCTGGGCCACATGGCATGATCTCAGAAGTGTCTGCCATTTTCAGAGGATTGCACCAGGCATTATTTTTATTCAGAAATGATGAGCCTGCTCTGTTTTGCTAATGTTGAAAGCTCTTGCTAACAGATTCCTCTTTGGAACAGGTAGATATATTTAAATTTCATGCTATCATCACTTGAATTGCAGCCATAGGAAAACATTGGCTCAGGATAAAAGAGGCAGCCTGATATTTTAAATCAGACTAATTAAGCTTTCTCAGAATCCGTGAACTTTCAGGCTGAGTACATTCTTTTCAAAAAAAAAAAAACCTCATTTTTTTTAGAAGATGTTTTTTTCTGTCTATGCACTTTTTGTGCACCTTCATTTTGGCACACTTAGAGGCAAAATAATGGAACCAAAGAATCCCCTTGGTTAACTTTACCATATTTTCCACTTTAATAAGGACACAAAGAAATTACTTTCCCAAAATTAATAATTTTGGACAAAACCAAGACAGACATTTTGATCTTAGAGACCCATTTCACCTGGAAGTATGTTGGAATAAATTAATAAGAATCTGCCTGGGGTTTTGTTTGTTTTTTTAAAAGCACTGCCATTTGTTAACTTCTGCCATATTAAGGAGGTTTTTTTCAATTTTGTGTAAAACTGGTTACATAAATCTTTTGTGCATTTTTATCAAAAGACAAAGCCTATAAAACTGCATTATTTTTTATATCAGGTAAATGTAATGATTTGTAAGAAAGCACTGGCTTGAAATATTTTTTTAAAGTGAAAGGTTGTGCTAACCAAATTCAGTATTTAATCATTGTCATTCTGTATGTTTTAAGCTACAATCCATATATTTTGTGATCCATAGAATGGTTAAGGCACTACAGCATATTTTAATGGTGATTATGTATTGTAAACATGTATGAAAGATTTGTGTTTATACTGTGGCTATAATTCTAAACAGAACTAATTCAATTCAAAAATTGTTAGACAGGAAAATAGATGTTTTCATTTGCATGCTTTCCCCCTTTTTATGTTGTTGCTACACCTGTTTGGATTAATTGCACACAAAACATTTCTGAATAAAAAAATGCACAAATCTTAATTTGAAAAGTAAAATTTGTTGTCAAATAAGGACAGATATTCCTCTATAGTTGGAAGTCAATTCCTTCCTCCTTATCTCTCCACTCCAAAATCTTGGGCATGTGTTGAAAGAAACTTTTTGCATTTGTCAAGAAAGGACAAAATAGACTTACTGTAGTACAGGTACCGTAGTCCACCACTTATAATGACAATTGGACTTGGAATCTTGGTCATCGAGCAAAGCAGTTATTAAGTGAGACTCCATGTGACCTCTTCATGCAATGACTGCAATCCCAGCTCTCCCAGTTGTGGTCATTAAGTATAATGTGGGTTGTTAAGTATAATGTGGGTTGCAGGGCATTGGGTAGAGGGCCCGGATCTCCTGGACTTTGTGAGGTGGGAGAGAAATCCCTCGGTGTGCTGAAGGAACAGACCTCAGAACTAGCGAAAATGTTAATAAATGCCATTGTTTTTGGAGGCTCAAAATCCTGGTGTTCGCTAGCATTTTCACTAGATTTGAGGTCTGTTCCTCCAGGCTCCAATAGGCTTTCCTGTTCCTGTATGGGGGCGGGGAGGGGAAATCCCTTGGCATGCTGTGAACATACCTCAAATCCAGCATCACCTGTGCTTGTAACCTTCCCTGCTGTCTTCCCCATTGACTTTCTGGAGAAGCTGCCAGAGAAGACTCCAAATGGCATTCACTTGATCACAGGGCACTTGGCAACGTGTCATAAATGTGAATAGGTTACCAAGTGCCCAAATTGTGGCCATGTAATGGAAGAGGTGCAACATTTTACAGTGGCCCAAGCACCCATTCTGAGGCTGTTGTGACTGCATTAAGCAACCATAAGTTGAGGTCTACCTGTACGTAAAATGAGGCATGAGGAATTAAAATATGGACAATGTTCTATAATGTGCTAGATGCCGTTATTTCTTCCAATCCTGTGCTTTAACTAATTATTTATTATTGCTAAATTAATCGGTCCTGTTTCTTGTACAGACCATTTGAAGAACCGATCCCTGTTGTGATTAGCACTGAATCAGTAAGCAGCAATTTGCATCAGGAGGAAAACGGTAACAGTGCTGCTGTGTCAAAAGGTTCCAAAGATAGCAACAAGAAGCGGGAAGAGACCAAGTCTGGCCCAAAGAAACCCAAAGAGAAAGTGGATGCAATCTCTCAGTTTGATCTTAATAACTATGCAAGTATGTACTTGGAAAATCTCTGTAAGACACTTAAGATTCATAAATGCTCCATTCCTGGAGATTTTCAGGAAAAGATTGGATAGCCATTTATCCACAATCGTGTGAGAATTCTAGCACTTGGCAACGGGTTGGGCTAGAAGACTTCCAAGATACTTCCAATTCTTTGATTGTATGTAATGCTTTCTTCATGAAACATCAAGTGGAGTAGTTGTATTGGGGGAGGGGGGTCCTTTCCCCTGAATAAATTAAACATATGATAATGACCATTGCTTTAAATTGGTGCCTAGGTATAGGTCTGATTAAAATTTGGACTTCCTTTATAGGTGTTGTCATTATTGATGACCATCCTGAAGTGACTGTAATCGAAGATTCCCAATCCAGCTTGAACAATGATGGTTTTACTGAAGTAGTGTCAAAAAAACAGCAAAAACGTTTGCAAGATGAAGAACGTAGAAAAAAGGAAGAACAAACAGTGCAGGTTTGAGATCATGCATAGCATTATTTTTTCTTACAGAAAGAAGTATTGATTTGAATTATATCTAGTTACTGAGATAATTTCAGTTACACTCTGCACATTCTTTAGTCACTGCAAAATAATTGTGATTTACTCCATTTTGTGATGTCCTGTTCTATTTAGAATTTTACAGGAGAAGTTGATCTCATACTCTAAATGATTTACATAATTAATACATTTGATCACTTACTATCCCTCACCACATATTGGGTATTCTGTGGCTCTTCAGTTGTTGCTGAACTACAACTACTTGCATATATCTTACTATGATTCATATTCCTTGGAGTTGAAATTGAGAGACATCTAGAGTAAATGGTGCTCAGGCATCTATTCTACTTGAAATTAATGCCAACATTTCCCGGAACATTTTTCCTTGCAGGCCATAAGAATTACCATACTGGATCCAGTTGTGGGGCTAACTAGTTCAATATTCTGTTAAATCATCAACATGGTGTCTTTTAAATTATTTATTTGTATGCAATGCCTGAGTCCAGGTTATTCATCATTATCTGATAGATAGTTGATAAAATGGCCATGGCAAAAATCTTACACTTGTAGGAAGGAATATCTCATCAGTCTGCTTGTACTATATAAATTCATCTAATCATTTTTTTAACCATCAGTCCAACATATTCCCTGAATTAATTCGATCATTTGGAAAACATTGTTTTGTCATTTAAGCATTTCAATTTCATCTTTCCCTAGTGGATCATCTCTCAACAGTATTTTCTTTCTCAGGTCTGGACCAAAAAGAATTCAAATGAAAAAGGAAGATGCACAAGTTCTAAGCTACCGCCCAGGTTTGCCAAAAAACAACAACAGGCAACTGCAGCGGCGGCGGCTGCAGCTGCTGCTCAACAAGGTCAGGCTCAACCACAAGTCCCATTGCAAGGTGTATCTCAGATTCCAAGTCCACAAACTTCAGTTCAGGCACAAACACCAGCAACTTGTGCATTGAACATCTGTACAGACTATGCAGGAACAAGCAAAACTCTGCAGAATGCAGCTTCCCATAATGCTGTAGGAACTGAATTTTGGGATAATAAAGTACCCCCTACAAGTGTCCTCAATGACATCTCTAAAAAATGTAAGCAGAGACCTTTTTTCCATCTAGCTACATATACAAGAAAAGAAAAATGTGTACTTTAAGGTGTTGAATTAACTTATCTCCCTGGGCTTTTCAATTTCTCTCAATATGAAAAATTGAGCCCTTCATATGATATTGTTATGTGTAAAAATTAGATCTTAAAAGCTAATTAGATCTTAAAAGCTGCATAGTTCAGCCACACACTCTTAAAATCTGTATCGTCTATTCCTTTTTTTTCTGACTCTTCCAAAGGTTACCGTATCTACCACTATATGTGAATATTGCCCAAAATACAATAGGAGCTGCTTTACTACTTTAACATGCTGTGTTTCTCCACTTTTTTCTGGATCAATTCCAGAAATTTTTGTTCTTCAGCTATACATTGTAGTAAGAAATTTGTTTTCCAAATGTCCTGAGCTCAACTGTATGGGAGGTAGCTTTAAACCACTTTTCAGAACTTTTGCTAATATGTTTTCCTTTCAAAAATTCTGATTTACTTTATTCTTGGAACTTTTAGTGGGGCCTATTAGTCCTCCACAGCCACCTTCTGTCAGTGCATGGAATAAGCCTTTGACATCATTTGGATCAGCTACTTCACCAGAGGTATGGAAATATATAGCTTGAATTTTGATTTAAAACTTGCCGTGTGTGTGTGTATGTGTGTGTGTGTGTGTGTACATATATATATAAACTTGTATCTAAATAATATATTAGAAGCTATATTTTGGACATGTTTCAGTTTAAAAAAATGTTGTGTTGCATCCACTCTGTAATGGAATGGTTTCTTACCAATTTGCTATAGATGTATATGTACATATACATATACATCTCCAGTTACAACAAATTGGACACCTATAGTTTTGCTTTTTCTCTCTCTTTGGATACAACAAATCATTTGAAGAGAGATAGGCCCAGACAAATCCAGGCAGATATATCCATATAGAAAGGGATGGATATATGAAGTAGAAAACAGAAGGCTGTGTTTACTGAACAAAGTTCTATTGACATGAATAGGGAAAAAAACTCCTTGCAGACATATAGCTAGAAATATGTGGAAAGCACTCCTAGAGGACTTTAAAACAATCCCAGCCATTTTTTCAGCAAAGGATCTTGCATTCAAATCAGAGGAACTAACATGCTGAAAGGGTAAAAGCTTTCTCCCTGACAAAGAATCTGTGATTTCTGCTGAGAATACGAAGCCATTTCCTTGCTTTTTTTTTCTAGGATGCTTTTGTTCCTCATAATTAATTGAATAATGATTAGAGTTAACTGTTTCATTCATGTATAAAAGAAAAGTGACACAGAAGGTACCTGAAAGTATCTTTTCTAACACAAAGGTGTATGTTAAGACCTGATGGATACAGATTCATCTTGTTTCATTTTTTAATAATAATTTTAAATACACAAAATTCAGTTAGCTAGTTCTGTTACAGCATAATAAATCCTTCATAATACGTTAGAAGTGTACTAATACAGGGAGTCCTCCTACTTCCAACCATTCGTTTAGTGATTGTTCAAAGTTACAGCAGCACTGAAAAAACTGAACTATGACCAGTTTTCAAACTTAAGATTGTTGCAACATCCTTATGGTCATGTGTTCAAAATTTGGATGCTTGGCAATTGGCATGTATTTATGACAGTTTGCAGTATCCCAAAGTCATGTGATCAACTTTGGCTACCTTCTGACAAGCAAAGTCAAGGCTTGTTGGAAGTCAGATTCATTTAACAATCATTAGTAACTTAACTGTTAACTTGTTGAAAGACAGGTTGTACTATGGGACAAAATTCAACAAAAGTCAAAGACTATCTGTAATGGATAGTGTCAACTAATACAGTGCTCAGGGTTTCTCTTTAACAGTCTATTTTCTAACCTATTTTTAAAGCATCTAGAATGCATCTAGAAGCAAAATCCGATTAAGTGCTGATAGTCCTCAACCTACAACCACAGTTGAGTCCAAATTTTTCTTTTTTTTTTAAAGTTTTAAAAACAATTTTATTTACAAATTTAAAAACGTACAATTTCAAAAATACAGGAACAATAATATGTGAATAACACATAATTCTTTACATTTGTTATCGAATTTGGTAAGTCCTAAAAATCATTATTGGCTAGTACTAGTCACATCTTTACTCATTATCCTAAGCGCTAAATAATTCACAAGATACTCTATTTTCATGTTGGTTTATAACTACTCTTCTATTACGAATACATTCATGTTTTTTAACTAGTAAACAAAAAAATATTATAAATGGCTAATAATAATAGTAGTAACAGAGAAAAGAAGGTTTAAAACCATTAATTGTTTTTATATATTTAATATAATATAAACCGCTGAATATAATTTGTATCTTAGGTTCATTTACATGTTTCCCCTTTTATTGTCTACCCACTTATATCATTTATCCCATATCCGGTAGTAATCTGTATCCTCCTTCCCATTAATTTTAAGTGTAAGCCTCTCCAATTGGGCACACTTATATGTTTTCTGAATAGCAACCTGTATTGGTGGTACATTTGGGTTTTTCCAATATTGTGCTAGTGAAATACGTGCCGCAGTTAATAAATGAATGGTCAGATATTTTACTTTAGCGGGGTAGTCCTCTTTGATCATTCCCAACAAAAATAATTCCGGTTTCCACTCCAGCCCACACTCTATAATTTCTTCTATCCACGTTTTTATTTTTAACCAATATTTCTTTATCTCAGGACAAAATTTCCCTTTACATTTCCAACAGCAAGGATTGGCTGTCAGAAATATTTTGGCCAGTCTAGAGGGTGCCAGATGCCATCTGTACATCATTTTGTATAGATTCTCCTTGTGTGCTACTGATTTGGTTAGTGTCAGGTTTTTCTGCCAGATTTCTTCCCAGACATCCAGATCAATACTATAACCAAATTTTTTTTCCCAAGCTAACATGGGACCTTTCACAATTTTCTCGGCCATTTCATATTCTAGTAAATAATTATATAATTTGGAAATCAAACTTTTCTCAGGGTTTAAAAGTATTTTATCTAAATATGTGTCTTTTACCTCAATTCCATATTCCTTTACGTCTTTGTTGTATCTCAGCTTTATTTGAAAATATGACCAATTATCAATAACTATCTCTTGTGATTCTAGTTCCTGTTTCGTTTTAATTCTTCCCTCACTATCTAATATTTGGTAATATTTAAGTTTTTTACTAATGTCCATAGTATTTAAGTGAAACGTTGCCTCCATCGTTGAAAACCACCTCGGGATTTTAGTATAATGATTCTTTATATCAGTCCAAATTTTAATTAAAGACTTTCGGAATACATGTCTAGTAAAATATAGATTATTTTTACTATTCGGGTTCCATAAAAATGCATGCCAACCTCGCTGTAAATCATGTCACTCCAATTGTAAAATCCTAGTATTCCTTAAATCAATCCAATCTTTTATCCACACTAATGCCACTGCTCTATAACATATCTCCCAGACAGGTAGTCCGAATCTACCCCTGCATTTATTATCTTGTAAATAAGCTTTTTTTATCCTTGTTTTTTTCTTTGCCCAGATAAATTTCATCACAATTTTATCTAAATCTTTTTTCGTCCAGTAATATTGGAATTGTTTGAAACAAATATAATATTTTAGGTAGAACATTCATTTTGATTGTTGCTATTCTACCTAATAATGAAATTTGCATCTTATTCCAATTTTCCAAGTCCTTTTCAGTCTGTTTCAGTAATTTAGTATAATTACCCTCTCGCAGATTTAATGTTCTAGCTCTTAACCAAATTCCTAAATATTTAATTTTAATTTACAATTTGTAATCTTGTCTTTTCTTCCAGTTTTTTTTTTTTTGTTTACTATTTGTTATGTTTTTAACTAGCATTTTGGTTTTTTCCTTATTGATTTTTAATCCTGCTAATTTACCGAATTTATTTCATTTAGTAGAGCTGGTCCTGAGTCTATTGGATCTTCTATGACAAAAACCATATCATCTGCGAAGGCTTATAATTTATATTCTTGATTTTTTTATTTTAATTCCTTTAATTTCTTTATTTAATCTAATTCTGTCCAGCAAAGTTTCCAAAATTGTTATAAAAAGCAGAGCTGAAAGCGGACATCCCTGTCTGACCCCCTTCCTTATCTTCAATGATTTGGTAATTTCTCCATTTAATAATACATTGGCCTTTTGTGTGGCATAGATTGCCTTCAACATTTTTACAAAATTAGCTCCCAAATCCATCAGATTAATCTGCTTTTTCATAAAGTCCCAGTTTAAGTTATCAAAGGCCTTTTGTGCATCCAGGAAGACCAAGGTCACTTGGCTTCCTGGATGCTTTTCATAATATTCCAATATGTCTATTATTGTTCTTGTGTTATATCTGATCTGCCTCGTGGGAAGAAATCCATTTTGATCCGGGTAAAATTTATTACTGAGTATTTTCTTTAATCTTTCCGCCATTACCGCCATAAAAATTTTGTAATCTGAATTTAAAAGGGATATTGGTCTGTAATTCTTTGTTTGATTGGCATCTGCACCCTCTTTCGGAATCAATGTTATGTATGCTTCCTTCCAAGATTCTGGTATTTTGGCTTCCAGTAATACCCCATTGCAAACCTCTAATAGCATTATCTCTAGTATATCACCTATCTCTTTATATAGCTCATTTGGTAGCCCATCTGGGCCTGGCGTTTTGTTTCTTTTTTGTTTTTGAATCGCCGCCTTTAGCTCATCTAAAGTTATTTCTTTATTCAGCATCTCTTTTTTATCCTCTGATATTGGATAGAGAGTTCCTTCTTTCAAATATTCTTCTATTTTATTTAAATCAACTACTCTTGTTTGTAAAGGTCTTCGAAGTACTCTCTTACAATTTCCTTTTTTTTCTCCTGATCTGTCTCTATTATTCCATTTTTATCCTGTAATTGATATATCGTTCTTTTCTGATTTTCTTTTCTTAATTTATATGCCAGCCACCTTCCAGGTTTATTTGCATGTTCGAAATAGTTTTGTTTCCTCTTGATCTAAAATATTCATCTCATGTTTAACTAATGCTAGTTCATTTCTAATATGCTCGTCTCCCGGGGTTTCCATTTGCTTATTTTCCAATTTCTCTATTCTTTTTGTTAGGGCTTTTTGCTTTTCCTCTCTTTCTTTGTTTCTATTTGCTATATAAGCTATTGATATTCCCCTTAAGTATGCCTTCATTGTATAGGTTCTGCAATGAGGTATCCTGCTTTTTATTAAATTTTAAAAAACTAATCAATTCTTCCCTAACTTTTTGAATATATTCTTCTTTCAGTTCTTGGGAATTAAGTGTCCATCTACCTTTTTTTATAATGACTGTTTTTCCAAACTATCTGTATCGGGTTGTGATCTGCCCATGTGTTAGCCAAAATTTTTATGTCCTGAATCTCTTTGTATAGCTCGCTATTTACCCAGGCCATACCTATCCTGGACCATGATTTGTGTGGGCTGGAGTAGAAAGTGAACTATGATATTCCTGGGTTCCTTTTTCTCCACGCATCCACTAATTCTAATTCTTCGACTATCTCTATAAATTTCTTAGGCAATGTATTCCGTTTCTTATATTGTCTTTGTTCACAAGCATTATCTTGTCTATTATCTGTTATTGCATTATAGTCTCCTATAATATAAATTCTTGGGTTTCCAAATTCTATTAGTTTTTCATATAAGCTTTTGTAAAATTCACTCTGGTTTTTGTTAGGGGCATATATCCCCACTAATGTCTTTTTATTTTGCATTACCACCTCTACCATTACTATTCTTCCCAATTCATCTTTATAAATCAATTCTGAGGCTATATCTTCTTTTATATATAATACTACGCCTCTTTTTTTCTTTTTCGCCAGTGTTGCATACATTTTCCCCAACTTTTTATTTAATAAGTACCCTTTATCTCTCTTCTTTATATGAACTTCTTGAATACATATTATATCCGCTTTTTGTTTTTCTAACTTAAAAAATATTCTTTTTCTCTTAGCTGGGTCATTTAACCCATTCATATTTATAGATATCAAATTCACTCCTTTATCCATTCCTTTCTTACTTCTATCCCTCGATATTTTTACCCGTCGTTTGACTTCTCGTCCTCACTCCTATTTCTTCTCTTCCCAACGTCTCATCTCCTTCCCTCTCCTTCTCCCTCCCCCTGTTTCTAGATTGTAGTTCTTCTTGGCTCGGAATTTCATGATCATCCCTGCTGCTCAGTTCTTCCTCTATTCCTCCGATTTGGTCAAAGAATTCTTGAGCTTTGGTTCGGTTATCTATTCTCACCCTTTTTTCCTTCCATATTGCTAGTATACCCTCTGGGGTAATCCATCTAAAAGATACATTTTTTTGTTTAAGTAATTCGTGAGAAATCGATAGTCTGTTTGCGAATTCTCCTCGGCACCTGTTTTAGAACAATCACTTCTCTATCTTTGTATTTTATTCCTTCATCTCTCATAACTCTATAAATTATATCCTTCACTCGCCTCCTTGCGAATCTAATATACACTTCTCTGGGGAGTCTATGCCATCTCGCGTAACTCGTGTACACACTGTATATGTCGTTCAGCTCATTTACCATCTCACCCCTATCTCTGTTCAAAAGCTCCGCCAACATCTCCGCCATCACCAACGGTAAGTTCTCTCCCCTCTCTTCCTCCACGGTCTGGAATCTAAGATAATAGGAGGCCTTGTCCATCTCAAGATGAGTCAGGGTCTCATTGGTCTCTTTATTCTGCTCCTTAATTTGTTCCATGCCTTCCAACTTCTTTTCCGTTTGATTAGCTTGTTTTTCAATCGCTTTAATCTTCTCTTCGTTTATTTTAATCAATTCTTAGATCTGGCCTATCTTTCCATCCAAAATTTTTGACTTCAAGTCTCATTTCCCCTGACTCATTTTTTAATTCTTCTTTCATTATTTCTCTTTCTACTTTGCTTTCCATATGGTTTTGGACATCGATTCCTGCAATGTCAACATCATATTTTGGATAGTTAAGAATGTGGTTTGAACCAATTGTGTGCTGGTTTGGGCTGTGGATTTTTCTGGTGCCAACATCCCTTCAATCGTTTTTTTGGTCGATGTTGCTGTGGAGGTAGATGGTGTTACTGCTGGTGTCGGTTTTCTTCCTACTTTAGTAATGGTGGAAGATGTGCTGGTTATATCTTTAATAATTCTTCGTTGTTTCTCCACTATCTTAGCTATATTCTCCCAAGTCGTATTGCCTACTACCATCAACTTTATCTGTGTTTTACAATTCGATTTTCTCAATTCTCTAAGCTTTTATATTACTGTTTATCTGCTTGGTCTAATTTCTTACCACTGTTAGGCGAGGAGATTCTTATCAGTTACTTAACTATATTTTCAAACTTTCCAGCCCACTTTACTTGTTATTACTCTAATTGTTCACCTCACGTTCTATTAGTATTGTATCTAGTCTTAATGAATTCAATAAATCATCAATTCTTAAATCATCCAACAAGTCAAAAAGTCATGCAACTATGTTTAAGTATATAACAAATGTTATAACCCCAATTGCTTCTTTAAATTAATTGCTATATTTCAGTTAATATTACCTTAAATATTACCTTAAATATTTAATAAGAATTTAAATTTCTAATTAATATTTTTAAATATATTTATATTTCAATAGTTCACAGTATTTAATATGAGGAGGGCAGGAGAAAGAGAGGGAAAGAACAATTAAGTATCTCATCTTTATATTAATCAATATATTAAGATCATTAATCTATAGTCAATCAGATATATGTAAAGAGTGAAAGAAAAGAAAAATATAAAATGTACTCCAAAGGGGTTAAATATCACTTACTTAAATTAAAACCTATTTCAAAATAACCAATCAATCTTGTTTTCTTATTAATTAAATATATACAGTAAGTAAATAGAAAATGAGATTATACCGTTCCAATCAATTTTAAAGGAGAAAAAGAGAACAAAACGAACACTCAATGAGAAGAGGATTTACAATCTCCTTTTTCCCAAGTGTTTCCTTAGTTATCCAGTTATATCCAGTAAGAACTTCAAGTCTCAATTCTCAGTTCTCAGTTCAGTCTAGTACCTCTGCCACTTTACTCTGCTCTCCCTGTCACAATGTCTGCCTCCACGAATTGCACTGTCACTCCTCTAATCACTTCCAAAGATTTCAAAGTTTCACAGTTCTTCTCCACAATAGAATACTCTACACGATATGTTCATGTGGCTGGAAATACAAAACTTTCCTCATCAATAGTCACTTTCCTTTTTAAAAGCAATTTTCTGCTTTATCCAGAGCTATGGGTAAACAGCTCAGTCTTGCTGCCACTTTCCCCCTTCCGCTCTGGCGTTTCACACACGTACCAATTACCTTTCAAGTTTATCCATTAATTATAATCCAACATCAATTTCCTTTCGGCCTCGTTCCCGGACTCCAAATTGGATCTCGTCTCTCCGCTTCCTTCTCAAAGTTGTTCCGTCACATCTTCGGGCCAACCTAACTGGCTGACTTCTTTTGCCTTTGCTTCGGGCTCCCTTCTTTACCTCCAGGATTGCAATTCCCACTTCGGCTCCAAGAATTCTTCCTCACTTGAGTGATCCCACCAGGATCTAACTTCACCTCAAACAGCTACCCATGAGCAAAAATCCGATGTAGGAGAGCAGATCAAGGTTCTTCTACCTCGTCATACCGCGACGTCACTGGAAGCCCCAGTCCAAATTTTTCATTGCTAAGCAAGCTGTTGTTAAATGAGTTGTGCCTTCTTTTTTGCTATGGTTGTTAAGTGAATCATTACAGTTGTTAAGTGAATCATGTAGTCATTAAACAAATCTGGCTTCTCCCATTGATTGACTGCTTGTCAAAAGCTCCCTAAAATGGGATTGCAAATAACAGTCCCAGGACCCTGGGAAGTTGCAACCACTGGACATACATGCCAGTTGCCAAGCACGCGTAACTTGATGCCGTGAGTGTGGCGATGCTGCAACAGTCATAAGTGTAAGAACTGGTCATGTCACTTTTTTTAGTACTTCTTGTAACTTTGGTAATTAAATGAACAGTTGTAAGTCAAGGACTACCTATATCTCCCCTTTAAATACTTTTTTAAAAAGAAAATGTGCTTCAAACCTACTGTTTACAACTATTTTTGGACAGTTGACATTGCTATAAAAATATATCTGCATCCCAGAGAGTAAACACTGTCTTATATTGGTTTTACTTATTCTTTTCCACAAGGGGCCTGTACTGGAAAATTATAATGCTTTAACTTGAACTATTTTTTAAATCATTTGTTTCAAATTTAAGCCAATTTGAAAACTGTACAAGGTTACATTAATAAACATACTACTCAATAGTATTACATTGTAATAGCATCTGTAAATTTGGAATTCTTATTTCTCCCTTCTCTGGATTGCTATAAACAATTTAACTTGTATCATTTTACTCTCATGTATAAAGTTGTTCAGTAATTCTACATACAACTCCTGTATAATTAGAAAGATACGATGGGTTTGAAATACTAAAAAATATGATAAAAGATATTTTGATTGTGGTTATTTTCCCCAACCAGGATATTTTTTGTTGATTTCCATGATTTAACTTGTTAAAATTTAATGAAGTTGTTTTAGGTTATAACTTCTCCAAAATATTTAAATGCTACAATACAACACCAAAGTCTGCTTGAGTTATAATTTTTTTTAAAAGAATGATGCCTTTACTAGGGAACCCCTGCCGGACAGGAAAGTGGAATTGATTTGGGAATAGAAACAATTCAGTTTGGAGCTCCAGCCTCTAGTGGGAGTGATAGTGAAGTTGGGCCAGTTTCAGATAAGACCTCAGAGAAGCTTCTTGAACCAAAAGAACAAAGGCAGAAACAACCACGCGCAGGACCTATAAAAACACAAAAGGTGGGTGAAATTTTCCAATTCTCATCAATTAGAGAGACATCCTGAAACCATTTAAGCCTGCAAGAATTTTTAATAAAATATATAATAAAAGGCTCCATTTCTCATTGGATCTTGGGAAAGAGAAGTTAATGATGAAGTCATTGTAGTGGGGCGAAGGATTGTTGAATTCATACAGTATACAGGATGCCTAAACAGCCAGGACCCATCTTCTGCTACCTTGTTTTAATTTAATACAGGCTTCTCATGTCTAAAAGAATTATCTTCTGTCTTTAACAGAATTTTTACCAGAATTGGGTTTTAGTTGCTTTTTACTGACGTAATAGCCTTCCAAATTACAGATAACTGTCACAGAGGAATTTTACTGAATAAACAAACAGTGTAAGAATTTGGAAGTAGTTGGAACCTAGAATTGTAGATTATAGAACTATATGTCATCAGATCTGTCTTCTCTTCTTCCCATTCTGTTTTTTTATTATTAAAAATTATGTAGCTTTTTACAGTGCTCAGGATTTCACATTTCTGAATGTTTCTAATTTGGTTTGGGTTACTGAAAAACCGAAAACTGAAGAAAACTGAAAACTGAAGTTTCCTTAGAATCAAACAAAATCTGAATCTAATTTGACTTGGCATTTAGAAATCTGTCTGGTGAATTTTTCTACATATGATCTCCCCTCTTCCTTGATAGAACATAGGTAAAAGATAAATTCTCCTTTGAATGATGTTCAATTCCTGATAACTACATAATTATATTCAGGATTTTTTCTGCACTTCTCAATATAGTATGGAGCCTTCAGGTTTTCTGATATGCCAAATATTGAATCCCATCCTGCTTAATGTTTTGGAATCAAGGTAGTTAGGTATTATACAGATACAAATTTTGATAAGCCACAAAAACAACTCAGTGGTTACTGGATTGATTACTTCCATACCTTCTTCTGGAATTCAGCATATACAAATATTTACATTAAATATTGTTAATTATTTTTAGCTTCCAGATATGAATCCAGTAGAAAGCAAAGAATACAAGCCTGGCCCAATTGGGAAAGAGCGATCACTAAAGAACAAAAAAGTAAAGGAGGCACAACAAGGCGATTCTGAGATGCAAGAAAAGTCCAGTGCTAATACAGTCAGAAGCTCAGATCCTATTACTTCTAAAGAAAACAAATCAACTAATGAACTTAGTACAGAAATAGGAACAATGATATCAGTGTCAGCTGCAGAATTTGGAACAACTCAAAAAGTAAGAAAATAGAAGTGCTTATTTCTTCCTGCCCAAATTTTATCAAATACATTCTTTTATGGTGCTTTCTGAAGTGAGAGCATAAGAGAAGTGTAAGACTGTTTTGCTGTGGAAACAATATTGATGTTAGTTGCTTCTCATTTAAAAAAAAAAATAGTAGTTCTCAAATGACAACCATAATTGAGCCTGGCAATTACAGTCCTAAGTCACAGTCATAAAGCAGGTCACATGTGACCAACCGACTTGTTTTCTGATGGTTGTTAAGTTGCTGCAGCGGTTGTTAAGCGAACTTTCGATTCGCTGTGGATTAGTTTTTTGCTAGAAATCAGAAGTAAACACCAGTTTCTGGCAAAATTGTTGTAAATCCTGGTCACATGATCACTGCTGGTTGCAGATGGCCAGAAATGCAAAATGGTTGCTAAGTGCCCAAACTATGATCATAAGACGGGTGTGCATGTGTGATGTCAGAACTTTGAAACCAGGTTGTAAGTAGCTTTTAGGGGTTCTGTAAAAACTTCAAACGTTTGGTAAACTGGGCATAAATTGAAGACCTGCTGTAGTAAGATTTATTACTGCTATTTTCTACTGTTCTACTATTCCTGTAGTAGAAATATCTGTGTAGAAGAATGGATATTGGAGAATGTGTTGCGAGGATTTTGATTCAGTGAAACTAGAATTGCTAGAGCCTAACTCTATAGATGCTTATCCTTTCAGTTATTGGGATGTCCAATTTTTCAAAAGTCTCTTAATCATTTTTTATATTAGTAGTTAAATAACATATGCAGATTACTATAAGAGTCATAATAAATTGGGACTGGTTTTTTGAAAGACCACTTTTCCATGGACCGGAGGGTGCGGGGAGGAGTGAACAACCCAGATCCCTCTCATGCGCAGTTTACACTAAGGTTTGTGCTCCTATGAGAATACCGTGCCTGATGAGCTGAGATGGAGCTGAGATGGGATGCTTGTGCTGGGGAGCGGCTGCAAATACAGATGAAGCTTCGCTCACTTGCCTGCCGCTCACCTGCAACTGTGTGGCCCAGTTCCTAACAGGCCATGGAGCAGTACTGCTTCATGGCCTGGTGGTTTTAGACCACTGACATAGGGGTATTAGTGTTTTCTATATTTTAAATGAATGGGAATGTTACATTTCCTGCTTAGTGGTTATATGAAATTTAAAATCACGTTTTAGCTTTTTTAAAATTATTGACAGGCTATAGCTCTTTTTATTTACTCTGTAAATGGTAATCAACAAAGGTTTACTTTTTTAAAAATACTGAATATGTAAAGTTAATAGTTAACATATTAAGACTAAACAGTTTTAAGTTAATCTAATAGGGAAATTCAGTTTATGAATTTAAAATTAACAAATTATTCTTTTCTGCTCAAAGTTCAAATCATATTTTTGAGGGAAGTTGCGTATATGACTTAGATAAACTGGTTGAACTTTTTTTACAGGAGTCTGTAACAGACTATACAACACCGTCTTCTCATTCGAGTACAGTGGCAACACACAGTTCAAAGATGGAGGAGGCTTTAGTTACAAATGTAGGTGTATTGTCTCATAGTATAATTCCTCTATTTAATTTTATTTTAAAATTAAATTATTTTACATTTTGGTTATACCTGAAGAAAAATATCATTAAATAAGCTACACTTCTCTTATCTGAGAATAAAATCATGGATTTTAAATAATATTAACATATATACTCCCAATTAAAATATCCTGAAAAACTTGTAAAAAGTGATTAGATATTGAAACGATATCTACAAGATAGATTATGTGCTCTTTGCATATTAAAGTAACATATGTAATACCATGCGGTAAGGAAATCTACACTTATTGGGTTATTAAAGGAATAATTAAGAAATTATACTCATTTGGGGTAATTACATAGTACACTCTTAAATCTGGCACATCCAAAACCAGTGATTTGTGTAAATAACAGATGGATGGATGTTCGGTTGAACACATAGTTATGCATATCCTAGAGCATGTATATACGTAGCCATCCCTTTCTGATTGTGCTGTGTCTCAAATCTTTTTTTCCCCCATGATGTTGGTATCAGTTGCAATAAGACCAATGTCTAGTTTTACATCTTCACACATCCAGCCAAAACGTATTTTCCCCCACTGATCTGACATCCTTGGATTTCATTATTCCAACTTTGCACATTCGAATACAGATGTACATTAGTATTGTTGGGGCAGCAGATTAAGGACTGATACTTAGTTCTGGTATCTTTTCCCAACAATATAGTGCTGGCTCACTCCTGTTCATTTTCCTCCTCAGATTTGTTAACACCTATGTCAAATTACACTCACTAAATATAGGAGGAGGACATTCTCCTTGACTCAGTTTGATGCCTTTCCTACTAAAGTCTTAGAAGGAAGACACAAAGATATCCCATTTGGGCTTAAGGTTTTACTTTTGTAATAAAGAACAAAGGCAATGGGAACTGTTAAACACATATTATTATATCACATATTTTATACTGTCATGTGGATAGGTTAATAATGTCATTCCATTTCACCAAAATCTAGTACTGTATCAAACTGTAAACTGTGGTTATAAGAAAACAATTACTTACTTTAAAGGATCAAGGTAGCTATATTCCTCTTTTAAAAATGTTACCTATATGAACCATTTTATGATAATGATTATTATATTTTTATCTTGCCTTTTTAAATTATATTTAAAAATATAATTGCCTTTTAAAAATATATGCCAAGGTGGCAAACAAAGCTAATGCTCCTGCCTCCTATATTTCCCATAACATCTCTATGAGGTTGGTTGGGCTGAGAGAGAGTGCCTATCCCAAAGTCACACCCCAGCTGGCTGTCATGCCTAAGGGAAGCCTAGAACTCACCGTCTCTTGGTTTCCAGGCCAAAACCTTTGTCCTTATTCCAAATTCACTAGTTTATAATACTAAGGTGTATGTATGAAATAATGTATTCTTCATTTCTCTTTATCCCACTGTAATATCAGAGCAGTCTACATCCCACCTTTACTGTGAGCTCACCGCACAGCACCCCAATATGATTTTATGCTGGACCTAGACAAAACCTGGAGAAGCAGAGAATATTTGATTTTGATATACAAATAAACATAACTAATATTTCATACCTCCACTACATTGAACATTTACCACCCCTAATATTTTTATTGTCCACCACATAGAAGGACTTTCACAGTCAATCGTCTTAACATTGATACTGTTGGAAAGGTTTAATGGCATTCTTGCCATCTTTATTAAACGCGCACACACATGCACATAGGTGGCCATCTCACACAAAATGACTATGAGTAGCCTACAACAATTGATAAATCTGTTCAAAATCTGAAGTTGATATAATATCATACATACTTCTGAAATGCTCAATTTCCAATCTTGGAGGGTAGAGTTAATTTCTCATCATAACCTAGCAGATTAATTTCATGTGGCAATAGTTGGGTATCTTTTAAATTATCAGGATTGAGAAGTTTCCAGAATGGTTGCCAAATTTTAATCATATAGCAAATGACAAAGAGAGGTTATTGAACCTGACTAAATATGCTTACTCTCAGGTAGAGTAAGTTTTCACTGAGTATTTATATTTTGTCAATTATCTTTTCGTCTAGGATTGTATGTTGCTTTTTTACTAGTTTTAAACTTGAATGTTCTAATTTGGATGAATTGTTTAGTCAGAGATTAATTATGAAATTAATTTTCTAAAACTCTGGGCAAAAGATAAAAATAATGTTTATGAGAGAGATACATGAAACTGAAAATGTTTCTAATCAAACTGTAATTCTGCAATATCTGTTATTACTGCTGTATTAGCAGATGGAGCAGGGGTTTTATTTAGCTGTCTAAATGACTCCTTCCTACTCTTCAGCTTTTACTCTTGTAAGGAAAAAGTTTGTAAAGTATACATGTTCTTTCTTTGAGGACTTTTAAAATAGGAGCAGCACAAAAAATAATAATTTATGGAAACAGATGCAGTGGGCTCTAAATGATCAGGTTTTATGAATATGGATTACAACCATTCTGAAAGCAAATACGTTTTTTAGTTAAGTTTCATATACTGATTTTCTATTAACATTTCCTTGCCATGTGGTATCTAATTATTTACTCTAATATATAAACAATTAAATACACAGTGAATATATTTATGAAATAATTATGAATGCAAAATAATCTTACATTTGAGAGAAAAGTTGCTAATTAAATAGTGATTTTTATCATGCCTGTTGTACTTAATGTTGCAAAGTGTCAAATGTTATCTGGCAGTTGAAAGTACTTTTTACTTTGCAATTCCATCTCTTAAACTTTGTATTTTGATATGAGGGGAGGGAGAACAGCATTACAATATTTCTTCAAGAATTTATTACGGATAAATTGTTTCTTATTAAATGTACCTCATGATATTCAGTATACTGTGTTCTGGTTTGTGAGAGTGTTTGTTGCTTTCCTTCTTTTCATAAGAATGTAAAGCTTTTAGTTGAATGACATCCAATCGGAACACCTTATAATTCTTGGATGCAGGTGTATTTGGTGTATTGAATTTTGGGCTTGGATTTCCTGATAATTATATGACTTAAACATTCATATACTTCTGTTGGTTAAACTAGCTTTATTCCATTCTTTGGCAGCATCATGTAAGGTGATGATTTTAGTGCACTGGAAATGATGAGGAATAAGAAGTTATTTTGTCTTGCCTTGTTTGGGATATCTAAAGGTGTCTAGTCAAGTTCAAATACTTCCCCTTAAGTTTTGAATCTAATTGAAAAAGTTTCAAGTAAAATCATGCTATATTTGCAACAGTTCTATGCTTTTGTTGCATTATAGAAGGAAATGTATCTCAAAGATACATATATCACTTCCATGTGAACCTTTTGAGGCTCAATCTGAAGGAAATTTATTTTCCTGATTTTTTTTAATTTTTTAAAAAATGGATAATATTCCAAGATCATAAATAATCAAATATTTTTTTCTATGTGTCAGATTCCCCTCCCCCCTTCTGAATGCTTCCCTGTCAAGTACTTAAGTGGAAGACTACCTAATTCAATTGCACTGCTTGAGCTCTTGCTTTTAATGGGGCTTTTGTCATAGACCCAGCTAGAATGTGATCTTTGTTGCCTACCTTTCAGGTGCCCCTGCCCCACACCCTTCCCCTCCCTAGGAGGGAGACTCTACAACAGAGCTCCAGCCTAACTCCAGTTTCTCCCGCTACCGTCGACCTCACCCTCAAGGTATGTACCATCCCCCTCTCAGGGTAATTTTCTTGCATGCCGGGGAAAGATTGATACTTTTGGTGTAGATTAGGGAGACCGCACACTTTTTTTTTTTTTTTGCTAAGTAACTAAAAAAAGAGTATTCATTGTATTCTTTTAACCCTGTTTGGTAACTAACACCAAGAAACTGCTATCTGCCATATATAATTGGATATAGATTGGAATATATAGTGAGATTTATCTATGATTTCTCTTTCCACAGAGAACATATAGAAAAGGTGTGTATAGCTAGTATTGCAGAGTTTTTTCTTCAAAATTAAATTTTTCTGATTTGTATTAATATTGCTAAACATAGCAATTTGATTGATATTGGTTTGCTGATCTAGGATGCATTAAATTGAGAAATGGACTGATTAATATTTGTCGACTTCTTTATAGTTACTGTTTTGGTAATTGTATTCTTTTGGTGATGATATGAGAGGTAGGAGATAGGCAAAATTCATACTGACAAGATTTATTTTGGGTTGGATACCAGTTCAACTTGCTATGAAGTAAGTGACAAGAATTATTTGGAGATTGCCATCAATTCTCTTCAAACAATAAGTATGCTAAAGTTCTCTCTCTTCTTCCTCTTCCTCTCCACCTTTCCAATTGGGTTCCAATTAGAATCCTGAAAGGATTCTAATTAATATGGCTTCGAATTTTAATTTCAGAGGAGCAAAATTGTATTAGCAGGAGCAAGTTTAATAAGCTAAATACAGTATTAAGGAGGAGTCAGGAAAAAAAATCTTAGCAATCTTGATGAACAATATAGTTTTATATCAAAGAACCACTTTTTACAAACATAGTTTTCATCTTAAGCATATCTGGAGAATTCTAGCATTAAAACCAGAATTTCTGATTATTTACTAAACACAGGAGCTTTTTAATATTAATAATTTGATAGATAAACTGATTGCTTTTAATATGAGATACTGTAATTTTAGCTTTTATACAAGTACATCTCTATTTCCTTCTATCTTTCCTTTTTATCTATTCATCTGTCCATTCATCAGTGCATACTTAAGTCCAGATATAGATACATACATACATCTGTGTTTTTGCATAACTCATGTCAGTGAATTTTTTCTAAATTTAATATTCCTCCTGGAATTTTATTATTTCTTGAACATATTTTCTGTTAGCATACATGAGTATAACTTACTTTATATGTATGCATAGAGAAGTCATAAACAGAATTAAAAATGAAACTTTGAGGCTGAATACTTTCCTAAAATAATTATAAAACATATATGTCAGACACTGCACTGGACATGAGCTATTTTTAGAATATATTGTATGTATATAGTTTTACAAAAATACATCTCTCTGTGCTTAATCTTCTCTGTCTACATTAAAAAAATATTTAAGCATCTCTTTTTAACCTTTTCAAATATGATCTGTTCAAAGCATTGTTTTGACAAAGTAGTGTGCCTTTTTTCTAATAAGCATGTAGTGATTTAATGAGACAGTTTTCAAATTGTATTCTGTGGAATTATTATCATCCATGAGAGTCTGGGGACAAAAAAAAATTCAGTCAAATACAGCCAATTTCTTTCCTGTAGGAAGAGGCTAAGTACATAGGCACATACCATTGGTCATCCTTTAAGAGCTATATTATTATCAATATTGAATTCCTGGTTAATATCTTTATTCCATGTATCTCAATTTAAAAAGTTTACATAGGAATCTACTCCACCAAGGTGGCCTTTCTGTGCCTGGATAGTTCATACAAGGTAGTCCTCCACTTATAACCATTCAATTTAGTGACGGCTCAGAGTTACAATGACACTGAAAAAGTGACTTGTGACCATTTTTCACAAGCTTGCAACGGTTGCAGCTTCCACATGGTGATGTGATCAAAATTTGGACGCTTGGCAACTGGAATGTATTTATCACAGCTGCAGTGTCCCAAGGTCATATGATCACCTTTTGCAAACTTCAGTCAAGCAAAGTTAATAGGGAAGCCAGATTCACTTAACAATTGTGTTACTAACTTTAACAAATGCAGTGGTTCATTAAACAACTCTGACAAAAAGGTCATAAAGTGGGGTAAACTCACATAGAAACTGCCTTGCTTAGCAATAGAAATTTTGGGCTCAATTGTGGCTGTAAGATGAAGGCTACCTGTATTCAAGAAAAAGTGTTTTAATGAAGTCGTCTTCATGAGGTTGTCAGTAAATGCCTACATAAAATTGATTGTATTTTGAGAAAAACTACAATTTTGCTTATATGTTATCTTACACAGTGCAGTTGGGAACAGTTTCATCAATATATTATTGATATTAGACTGATTGTCAGGTCTGCCATCTTCAGCTTGGTGCCTTGCTGGCATCCCATCATCAAAGGCCAAGGAGGAGGAGACACGGGAGAACAAATGGGCAATAAATGTATGGGGTTGGGATGGGGGGATGACAGTTTGACAAAGACCAGAGAAGCACAAACCACTTTGTGCCAGCATTAAAGGCCATGCACTCTGAGAAAAGAACATGGACTACCCCAAATATCTTAGCGTTTCTCAAAACACCGATGTGGTTCTTCATTGGCTGAAGACGAACTGATCATGGAGGGAGGGCTGGAACGCAGCCAGCAGCCTTTAGTTAATAAACAAACAAACCCCCGATCACTTCATCCAAATGGAGTCAAGGGTCTTTCTTTTCTAAGGGACATGATGGGCAGGTTTGTCACTGATATTGCTGAAATTTGAATATCTATAAATTCATTGTGGTATCATAGTGATTAGCATTTGATATAATTTAACTGAAAGCTATAGCATTATGTTTTGACAGTGAAAAGTGATGAGGATCTACTCTATTCTTAAATTATGAAAGTCAAACATAATTTGAGGCAGAGCTTAGAGCCACATCACCTTTTCATTGATTTAATTATTGCAGAATGTATGTCTCAGTTTCCAGAGAAGTAATACAAGAAAGGAATGAATGATGTTAATATTATTGAACTATCAGATCTATAGGAGGTGATGCATTTTAGAAACAAAGATAGTTGACATACTTTATTTGCAATGCAGTAAGGGAGTTTGCTCTTCCCTGAAGATATGCTTAGAATAGTAGGGAGTTATCTAGAATAAATTGAAACAAAAATATAGAAATAAAGTGGTACCGGTTTTAAAATAAAGCCATTATTTTTTCCCCCAAAATAGATGGAATCTGCTCGCAAAGCATGGGAGAATTCACCAAACGTGGGAGAAAAGAGTTCACCTGTTACATCATCAGCATCTCCTGTTACTGGTGGTAATAGTAGTAGCAGTGGAGGTGGGAATAGCAGCAGTAGCAGTGGACCAACCAGTGGTACATACAGCTCTTTTTCAAGTGCATCCATGCCTCCCATTCCTGTAGCTTCTGTTACACCTACAACTTCATTGTCAGGTATTAATCTTTAGGAAATATGACTGAGAAATGTGACTGAATAACTTGCTATCTTTTTTAATAAATCTCTCTTTGTTTCTTGTTGTTTTATGTGTATTTCGTTGTATGTGTATACTGTGTATATACGTACAATGACAGTAAAGTATTATTATTTGGTTCAGTTCTGTCTAAAAAATGATGTGTGATATTTTAATTTGATTCTCTTTATTTTGTATCCTTTTAATTTGTTTATCTAAATTGTTAGAACTAAAAACTTTGAAATTCTTCTTTAACAAGGCTCTTGTGCATTTTTTATATTGATAATCAGTGAAAAATCTATTAACTATCATTAATTTTCACAAGTTATATAAAAGTTTTATACAATCAACTGTTGGAAAGAAAATTCTACTTGAATCAGACAAGAATATGATAGCATTTAAAATCCAATATATTCTGAGCAGTAGCTTTGATCTTGAACTGTATAATTTTAATTAGGTGTTCATCCAAACAAAGTTGCTTTGCAAACATATTGTTACATATTATATATTTTGAGTCCTTTAAATTTTAAGATCCTTTCCACAATAACAGCATCTCCGAACAATTTTAATCTATATTTCTAAACACAGAATATAGACTAGTGACTTTTCAATTTATGGTTCAGTTCTGTTCATCAATAAACTGCCAAATAATTTTGAAATCATTCCTCTAAAACATGGGTGTCAAACTCGGTCGTGTCATGTGACATATTGCGACATATGGTGATTTTTTTTTCCTTTGCGGAGCTGGGATGGGTGTGGCCTGCGCGTGACGCATCTGGCCCGTGGGCTGCCAGTTTGACACCCCTCCTCTAAAATAATTATTACTTGGTGTTTCTGAAAGAAAAAAAACAGCTTGCACTCCAGTCAAACACCAGATGCTTACAGCCATTGCCAGTGGTTCTTTTAAAGCTCTATAAAGTTTCTGTCGGGATTGAGTAGATGATGCAGACTGTCAGGATAATTCTTAAATTATAACAGTATATCAGAGTTTTTTTAGTAGTAGAAATAGATGGATGTGATAAAACATAATACAAGAGTATTAGAACACTTATAATTAATTCTGTTAAAATATTAATCTTTTCTAAATGTTAACATTCTGATTATAATAATGAATAATAGTAATTGCTCTGCCATTATGCCCACATGGTGCCAGGTTTATATCTTTTGAATGTGTGGCCCTAATGAACATAAGCTTAGGAACAAACAGTAACTCTCTTAAATCCCCAAACTTTTGGGCACCAGGGACCAGCTCTGTGGAGAAGGTTTTTCTGCAGACCAGAGGGGGGCGTGATTTTGTGTACTGCCTGTTTCTTGTGGATGGGGCTTCGCTTGTTTGCATGGCCCAGTTGCTGGCATGCCATGGACTGGGATTTGGGGACCTCTGTTTTAGAATGTTTAGGTAAACAAATCATTTTTTTGATCCAATATAATAATAGACATATAATCTGAGTCTACAATGAAAACATTTCTACTAATACAAGCTATTGGCAGATTTTTATCTAAAACAAGTGACCTGGTGCCTTTCTGTAACTTTACCATTTGTCATAGGAATTCATCTTACTTGGAGTGCTTTCAGTAATTCTAATACTTTCTTTGGCCCACGTTGGCTATTAGAATTTGAAAGAGTTATGGACCATTTTTTAGTCATTTCTGTAAAGAACATTCTGATTTGCTGCTTTTTTATGAAGGAACAGATAATTCAGGCATACAAAGTAATGCACAGGTTTATCTGGTTTTTGGATAATCTTAAAACTAATTCTTAAATTCATTTTATAGGTTATTATACTGTATATTGCTAGTATATTGCCTGTTTTTAGGAAAATAATGAAAAATATCTTAAAGAGCTGCGATAGGTTGCTGTCATTTGAAATAAAAAATCATTTAGCAAACAGTATACCAAGTAAAACATATTGTTCTTTAATATATTTTCAAGGAAATTGTCATTGTTGAAGAATAGCTGCTATGTACAGTATGTTTCTGTCAGTTAGCTTTTATGCATATCATTAAGGTTTCACCATCATGCCATTTTATGTAGACAGTATCCTTGTACAATAATGTTCTGAAATTGAAAGAATATTTAATAAAATATTGCTGTAATGCAATTTGCATTAAGATTCATCTAACTAGGTTCAACAAGCTAAGGTGGATTAAACTTTTGATTATTATGCTGAAATATTTTGTCAGTAACTCTTGAATCTTGTTTTGCTTATTTCTGATCTTAGGAGCTGGAACATACACTACTTCCTCTCTAAGTACAAAATCCACTACAACCTCCGATCCACCCAACATCTGTAAAGTGAAGCCACAGCAATTACAAACAAGCAATTTAGCATCTGCTGGTCATTTTTCCCAGTTAAGCTGTATGCCATCCCTGATTGCCCAACAACAGCAAAGTCCACAAGTCTATGTGTCTCAATCAGCTGCAGGTAATGTGATAAATGTGTTCATTAAATTTAAGTTCAGCTCTTCTGGTATGCATTCTTACAAACTACAGTATTGTTTTCTCCCAGTCGTATAAACTTAATTTAGTATACAAGAGAATATAGGAAGTCCTCTGAAAGTTGGATGTTATTTTTTCTTCTTCATATTTTAATTTTAATCTTTTCTTGTGGTCCTGTAGCTCAAATTCCTGCATTCTATATGGATACAACTCACTTATTCAATACCCAACATGCCCGTTTGGCTCCTCCTTCACTTGCCCAGCAGCAAGGATTTCAACCAGGACTCTCACAGGTACATTTGGTGAGATTGGGAAACAAACAGTTTACAGATATATACAGGTTAAATTAAATCAATGTACCTTGAAATTTATCCAGCCTTGCTTTTTGTTATCACTCTCACAATAAAAAGTTAAGCTAGCATTGATGCTAGTTTGTTTTAATTACCCTAGTAAAGAAATTATAACATTCTAGGTGAAAATGAATAAGTGATAGGTGGAACTAAAATAGTGTATGGGGTGATAATAATCACCAACAAAAATATTACCTCGATACTATTGGAAAAAGAGCAGGAATTATCTTAGAAGCAGCTTGAGAATTGTGTTTATCACCTGCATGCAGACTTGATGGAAAATTTTGCATCTGATTTAAGAATTATGTGGAGGACTGGTTATTGATATTTAAATTTTAAAAAAATCTGCCAGATAAAGTTAATACCTGCATGTAATGAAATCTTGATTTTTATCAACAAATGATACAAATACAATAGGAATTTTGGATGTTGCACATGCTAAATTAAGCCTTCGCGATACTGAAATATTTTACATTATATCCAAAGATAACAGGAATTCCAATATGCAAGATTATTTTTGTGAATTGAACACTGGGATGTCTGAGACAGTTCAGAATTCTTATAAACCAAATCTAAGTCCTGCAATGAAATAGCTGGACTATTATTAGTTGAGGTGCCATGGATTAGTGCTACTGGGGCATATTAAAATGTCCAGTTCACTATTCAGTGTCTCTCAAATATCATTTTATTGTAAAACATTCACATAGTTTTTAAAATGGGAAGTAATATACAAATGTTATAAATTATTAAATTTACAGTTAAAGGATGTGAAACCATAAGGCTAGAGTAGACTTCTTTGTTGAGACACTGGAGAAACACCACAAGAATGAGTGGATTACCTGGGTGGATTTAGCTCAGGAGAGTTTCCTACATAGATATTTAAATTATTTCTCTTCCTTTCAGCCTACTTCAGTTCAGCAGATACCAATTCCGATATATGCTCCTCTTCAAGGACAGCATCAAGCTCAACTGAGTTTAGGAGCAGCACCTGCTGTGTCCCAGGCCCAGGAGTTGTTTAATTCTTCTCTGCAGCCCTATAGGTAAGTCTCTGAAATATAATATAATTTCAAAGTAAATATAAATAAATATTTTAAAAAATAGAATCAGGAAACAGAAAATACTGGTTTCTGCCTTTTTCTCCTAAATAGCACTCTTATATAGCATTTAAGACTTACATAGCACTTAGACTTATATACCACTTTACAGTGCTTTACAGTCTCTCAAAGTGATTTACAGAGTCAGCATGTTGCTCCCGACAATCTGAGTCCTTATTTACTGACCTCAGAAAGATGGAAGGCTGAATCAACCTTGAGCCGTTGAGAATTGAACTTCTGACAGTCAGCAGAATTAGCTTACAATATTGGATTCTAACCGCTGCGGCACCATGACTCTAAATGTTTGCATTACTAGTTTATTCATACCATTAATACAAGATAATTTGCACTATATTTTTAAATTGCTTTTAAGTTAGCAACATTAAGTTTATTTAGCTGAGGTGGTTTATTTAGCTGAGGTTAATGTTGTTACAAATCAGTGTTCAGATTTCATTATAGTGAAAGATTTGGAATTTTTAAGAATATTAGTACATGCATTTTATGAAATATCTTTTTTGTTCTGAATGTTACTGGCTGTTTGTAATTGCACCACTTTTATAATGCTGAAAGAAGCATTGAAGCATTGTAAGTTGTGAGGACGGGGAAACTTATGAATGACATGCTACATATTTGTAGCATCTTCAAATAAGTGGTGAGGTTTGTCTTTAAGCAGTTCTTAATCAGGCATATCATATTACACTTAATCAGTTCTTAAACAAGTACAGTACAATTACTAATTAATTGTGTACAAATACATTTGAAGTTTTACAAATAGGATAAAAAAAATCTAAAAATAAAAAAAAATACTTGTGTACTTTTACCTGTGATCAACCCTGCCCCTTCAATAATATTGCAACCCTACAAATATTCTAATCAGAAAGTGAAAATATCCTTAATTCAGAAAAAAAAAGATTAGATTGACTAAAACTATTATTTATTTTAAAATTTTTGCGTTTAACAGTGGCTTGTTATTTTTAGAATATGGAATCACAGCTTTGAGCTCTGCTCACACGCTTACTGATTCATAGTAATGCAAGATAAATTGATGCTATAAGAAGGTACTGTCACTCAGCTATGAGTGATTTCTTGCTTTTTCTAAATTCTCCTCTGTGATGACAAACTTTGTATCATGCCCAATTCCTTATTTAGGATAGAGAAAAGCAATCTCACCACCACATACCAAGCCTTATATTTATTCCCACAAAGTACAACACACAACTCTTTTGCAGGAAAGTGAATAAATACAGTAGTTTAGAAAAATGCATACTGGCAAAGCATAATGTAAAGTTTTGCCTCTTACCTTATCTTATCTTGTTTTATATTCAAAATCACATTTGGAGAGTTTGGCAACAAGTTAGCTGCCCTTAATTTCTTCAAAACCTCCTGCACCAATTTAACATGTAGTCTTAGCTTCAGTATAAATCAATATATCATCAAGATAAACCAAAACTCCCTTATACAAGTACTCATGCAGCACCTCATTAATTAGCTGCATGAAAATGGTGAGAGCTTGAAGTCTATCTTGGTTAAATTACTATATGCAAACCATTGTATTTGCTTGAATACTTTGCTCAGTTTTTTCAGTGCAGCTTTAAACTTTTCTTGCTGTAACAGCTTTCTAATAAATAATGATATTTAAATAATTAATATAGGCCATTCTTTTAAACAGATCTCAGCAGGCATTTATGCAGAGTGGCTTGTCTCAGCCATCTCCAGTGGTTCTTTCGGGCACAGCTTTACACAACTTCCCAACAGTACAGCATCAAGAACTTGCCAAAGCACAGTCAAGTCTTGCATTTCAACAAACATCCAACACTCAGCCTATTCCTATCTTGTATGAGCACCAGTTAGGTCAAGCTTCAGGATTAGGAGGTTCCCAACTTATTGATACACACCTACTCCAGGTAAGAAAAACAATAGATATTAACATGGCTTCTGAGCTTTGGAATTATTGCCTTTTTTGATGTGACAAAAGGAAACTGGTGTATATAAACATAGTTATGTTGTGTTTTTTATCTATTTCTACAGTGTAATCAGATTACATTGTAAATCATAAGACTTCAGAATTATATATAATTCTAAAGGTTCATAAATTACTGTTAATATTGTATCCACTACTGTTCAACAATTACATGCACTAAAAGAGATTATTCGTTGATTTGAAGTGAGGAATCATCATGTGCTGATCACATCCAGTTACACATTTCCATCCTGGATCAGGCTGAAGATGCCATGAAAATTGTGGTCTGAAGGTCTAGATGTGACAAAATAGGCTGAAGTTAAGTCTGAATCAGTGTGGCAGGTGAAACTCTATCAACCATATAACACCCAAGTTGCAAACGCTGCATTGGCTATCAATAGATTTCTAAAATGCTGGTTGTAACAAAGCTAGGTATTTTCAGGGCTTTCTCTAGGTAAAAGTGTCCTATCCAATATAGTTGCCTATAAATGTTCTATATTCCCCAGATGTGGGAGGTGAAAGGATTGGGGTCCCAAAAACAGAAACAGATTTACACAGGAAACATAATTATTTCTGGCATTAGAGGGTTTTCACACCCATAACTCTTTCATCCCATGGTCAACTCCTAAACCTGTTCATCCCTCCCAGTACCAGACATAATCTAGGCAGCCTTGACCACATTTCCTACTTGGGTTGAGGTTCAGAAGCTCATTTGGGTATCGTCAGTGTACTTCCATGGTATCTTTGTGCAGATGTTTAAAAATGGCAAACAGAAAAAAATGCTTCTAAATTGGTGTTACCCTACAACAAAGATTGTAGTGTTTGAGGTCTTCCCTCAGCACTATCTGCAGTTTTTCAGTTAGGAAGGAGCAGAGCCACTGCAGATAGTGCCCTCTGACTTTCAACGCTCATAGACAGTCCAGAAGGTATGAAAGGTATGAAAATATTGTCAACTGCCCGGAGTCACATATGTGTGAGTGGGCAGCTATATAAATTTGTTTAATAAATAAATAAAAGTTACTGAGAAATCAAAGTTTATACTTTCCCTTTCTATAGTTCCACTTCTTTCTCATCATCTGTAAAAGCAATCAGCATGAACTCAGTTCCATACCTGGCTTAAGCCTAGACTGGAAAAGGTGCATATCATAACATTTCTTCCAGCTGTAGAATCAGTCTGATATTTTTGTGATTACCACATTGTAAACCACTGACTTGTTTAGATTCAACAGTTTATATACCTCCAGCAAATAAATCAAAAAGAAAGTCCTCCATTTTAGGCTGATGTGCCTATTCATAGACAACAATGACTTGCCCACTGATTGATGAACTGGTAACTTCATGATTAGATTATAGTCCTTGTGGACAGAAGCTTCTGCTTCTTCAAGCAGAAGCTGCTTGAAGAAGCTACAGCTAACGTGAAATGCAAAGGCTAGGCTACTGACTGGAATATGGCTCTATGTTCACTTTATACCTGTGCTGAAAGATCTGCATTGATTGCTGATCTATTACCAGCCAGGTTCAGGATGTTGTTTTTACGAAGTCCTATACAACCTGAGAACAGCTTGTCTAAAATAATGTCTTTGGTTACATCCACTTTCCATAAGCACGTAATATATTTAGCATGGATGTTGTTGCCTTTGCATTTGCTGCTTGGCAGACATAAAGAAATTGGCCCTCTTCAAAATAACAGTAATTCTTTGGAATAACCTTCTCTTTATAATGTGCCAGGTTCGATACTGATGTATTTTTCCACACTTTTTCTTTTTGCATATATGCTGTATCTCATATTAAGTTGATATGCCCTTTAAATATATATTATCTACTTTTACCTATGCTTTTTCCACCCATGCTCTTTTGTTTATGGTAGTCAGCAGCACCCTGTAACCAAAGTATTATAAATTTTAGCAAAACAGTGAAAAGATAAGGATCAGGCATCTGACATTCTCACATAACTTAAGGACTGCTCATTATTTTGATTACCCTGCCTGTGATCTCTTGGAGAGTCCCAAAGTGCTTTTTTCAAGAGGCAACTGGGCTTTCTGGTTTTTC